CGTACACTTAGCCGCCCGTGGGATTCAGGTTTCAGGCCACCCGTGGAAGAAATGGCGGTGAGTAGCTCCCTTGCCCGAAACGACTTGCATTAGTGTTTCGCCATGTCACAGGTCGAGCATGGTCCTCTATCTCAGGTACCTTTATTGCTGACTGCTCCTCCGTCAAGAGGCTGCTGCGCGTACTGCTTTGTTGACAACCACCATCATGTTGTCATCCTATGCGGAAATGGAAGACGCCGTTGGGAATGAGGAATGGGAGCGGATCAATCAACCAGAAGTCCGCAAGCGAGTTCAGAACAGACTGTCACAGCGGAGACACAGTGAGTATCCCACTGTCTCTAGCTCTAGTCCCAGACTCCATGCAGTTGCTGAATACTCCACCCAAGGAGACAAACTCCGCCAACAACGTGAACCTGTATCCCATGAGATCATTATTCCACCATCGTTTACATCTTCCTATACAATGGAAGGGGCTCCGGGGACCAGCGACTATCCGAGTCCTTCCCTCTCCTTCAACGGGCAGGATGATCGGCACAATTTACCCCGACCCAACCAGCCTCAAGAGGGATACGACGCCTTTGATGCTTTCAACGCCCAGGACATGCTGCCTCCGGATCACACAGTCTCTACCACGATGGCACAGCCTGCACAGGTTGGGTCTGTTGGAATGAACCGGTCTATGACTCCTCACATGGGACGTCCTGCCATGAACAATTCATATCAGCCTAATAACATGCAACCACTCGGATCGCTTGCGTCAGGACCACCAACACTCCCCGCTGTTTCGAGAAATGAGTATTGGGATAGTCAATCTTTGTCTGACCCACAATGGGCTATCCCAAGCTTCCACCAAAACTCAGTTCCGGCTTCCAATCTACCAGCCGGCACGAACAATCCCAGGCATACGTCCAGCCATATGCCTAGACCCATGGTCCGGCCGATGCCTAGACGCGTGTCAAACGCTTCTTCCAACCAGCAGACGAACATTCTACCAACCCCTCGAGCCTCAGACTCGCACTCGTCTCCTGTTCTGCAGAGGAATATTGCAAATCAAGCCTATCCCAGATCCAGCAGTCATCTTGAAAATGCCAACACTGAGTCGGAAAGCACCAGAAAACACAACGATGCATGCTCGCACTGTCGCACCTGCCGGGCTCCAAGTTCCTTCGACGACCAAAAGCCTGGACAAGCCTCCCCAAAGACTCCAACGTCAACGCCGTCGCGAGATTCGTCCCAGACGAATTCCCCAGATCATCTTGAAATCCTGGCGAACTGCAGCAAGGTACTCGCCAACCTGGCGCGGCAATCAGACTACCGTGATGAGAACGAACCTGAGGAGAGGCCTAGGAGCAGTAAGCGCAGCAAAACCAACCTAGATGATTATTACGTGGACGTCAATAGAACCTTACAGGAGGATGATTATGGAGATGGTCACCACCGCCACAATGTGATTGGGAAGGTTGTGATTCTGTGTGTGAAGAACGGGAGGAAGACCAAAGGGAAGTGATGTTCAGTTCGTGGCAGTGGCCACCCCGGGACGAGTGACCTTTCACGACTTCTCTATAAAAAATATCGGAAGCAGTGACAGTTCCTTCATATATATTACTTTTAGAAACCTCGATAAATGGGTTATATCTGAAATGAACGATCTCCTAGTCATCATTTAATTCTGCACCTGACCTGCTTGGTCACTACATCTTTGCGAATACACACGTTGACAGCAACATCGTTAGCTATGACCTCGTGAGCCCCTCCATGCGTCTCCATCTCAATCTAGATGGCTCAAGGCATTTCTGGAGAGGAGAGCACCTCAGGGCCACTAGCTTCAATTTCCACATGTCGGAATCTGACTCTAACTCCCGATTTGGACCTGACCTGCATAAGTCCCATGACTGCCGTTGGATTCCAGCCTTTTGATTCGCAAGGCATACTTCAAACCCGCCAACTCGACGCTGATGTGAGCGCACTGTTTGAAACTGATCTTGGGAAAACACTTTCAATCCGAAATTTGTAGCATCACGACGAGAGGACAGCGAAGCCAACACCATCGAAAGCGACATCAACTACACACTCCACCCTATCCCATCACCACCTCACAAACCTCCCTCGTCATGGAAATCAACGGCTACGCCCTCGTGACCGGCGCCGGTACCTCCCCTCCCCTCCCCTCCCCCTTCCTCCTCCTCCCCCCAACCCCCTGACCTCCCACCCCAACCCACAGGTTCCGGTCTCGGCAAAGGCTGCGCGCTCGCCTACGCGGCCGAAGGCGCCGCCGGTGTCGTCTTCGCCGACATGAACCGGGCGGCCGCCGAAGCCGCCGCGCTCGAGAGCCGGGAGATGGCAACGCATGCCGGGTACAAGACGCTGGTGGTGCAGGTGGATGTGACCAAGGAGGCGGAGGTGGATCGCATGGTGGAGGAGACGGTGAGGGAGTTTGGGAGGATCGACTACGCTTTCAACAGTGCCGGGGTGGGTTTGGAAAGATTTGTTTCTCTGTCGTCTGGACTTTATTCCGCCGGGCGCGATTTTTTTCCATTGCTGTCGATCGATCGATATTGAACGAATGAATGATTGAATGTACACAGTAAGTATACAATCAAATGCATCCCTCGCTGACCACCGGCGCCGCGGACAGATCGGCGTCCAAGCCCCCGCCGAAATCGCCGAAGCGTCCGTGAGCGAGTTCCAACGCTTCCTCGACGTCAACGTCTTCGGCATGTTCCTCGCCACGCGCGCGCAGTCGGCCGCGATGAAGAAGCAGGACCCGCGACCGGTGAGCGGGAAGAACGCGCGGCGGGGCTCGACGAGGGGCGTCATCGTCAACATGGCCAGCTGTTCGAGTTTCGTGGCCACGCCGATGCTGGTGCAGTACACGACGAGTAAACATGCGGTTTTGGGGCTGACGAAGAATGCGGGTGCGTGGGGTTTTCTTTCCCTTTGTTTTTTCTTTCCCGTTCACGTTTATTGTTGTTGTTTGTTTTTTCTTTTCTACCCTCTCATAATCTATATACATATATACCTGAAGCTAATCCCGTCCCTCCCCAAACCCCCCAGCCCTCGACAACGCCCCCCACCAAATCCGCACCAACTGCCTCTGCCCCTCCTGGGTCGACACCCCCATGGTCTCCCAAGCCGTCGCCGCGAACCCGGCCCTGCAGACGCTCATGGAGGGCGCGGTGCCGATGGGCCGGATCGCACAGGTGGACGAGATCGCGGACGTGGTCATGTTCCTGAGCAGCGGGCGGGCGAGCTACGTCACGGGGGCGAGCTGGATCGTCGACGGTGGGACTACGTTGAGTGGGCACGTTTAGGGGTCAGAGGGGAGGGGTGAGAAGGGGATTAGTCAGCTTCGACTGTGGGGGAGAGACCGTCTGTAGTCACGTGATTGACAGTTGCTGTTCCGTCATTACATAATCCCCGTCATGCTTGCTCACCATTGTAATTCCTAAAGTGGACTAGGTCTTCAGGGTCAATGCAACAGTCTTAGATTTCCTAGCCTCAAACATCCTCCACTACCCTGCATCATGCACGTCAGCCGCGATACATGCAGGGCAGGTCATGTCTAAGAAGGAACTGGTAAGCTATGCGAACTCACCAAACGGAACTGACTGAGCGTGTACGCGCCGAGAGAGGAGATGTGCCGGGTTGGCGAGTCAATGAGGCTTCTTACCTTCCTGGCAGTGACTTGGGATGTGACTGTTTCCAACCGAGGTTTGAAAGGGCGGTCTTGCATTTTTCACTTTTGGTAGATTGGACATTTTGCAACTGCGAAGCTTCTTTCCCTTTTTCTCAATTCTACTCCTCCTCTTCGTTCCCCCTTCTCTCATTCAATCAATCCAGAAAAGAAAGAACCAAGAAAAGAAAGAACCAAGAAAAAAAAAGAAAACCCGCATCCTTCCCCACCCCCAAACACCCACACAGACACCCCACCTCCCCAACCCACCCGACCCAAACCCACCGCCAAAAAATGGCCACCGCAGCCCACGACTTCATCACCTCCGGCTACCCCGCCCCCGGCCTCCGCAAGACCCAACGCCTCATCACGGGCCACGGCGCCGACGGCAAGGGGCACTTCCTCGTCACGGACGCCGGCGACCACCACCGCGTCATGGGCGAAAAGCAGGCCGTGGCGGTGATATCGTATTCGACGAAGGAGACGCCGGTGGAGCTGAACGGGGACAAGGACGTCGAATACGCGCGGGAGAACGAGGTGCGTGTTTTTCCCCTCCCCCTCCCTCTCTCCCTCCTCCTCCACTGACCTCCCCGTCCAGCCCGGCCTCCACATCGCCAACGGCACCGTCGTCCGCCTCATCGACTTCGGCCCCGGCCTCGAGTCCCCCCTCCACCGCGCCATGTCCATCGACTACGGCATCGTCCTCGAGGGCGAGTTCGAACTCTCCCTCGACAGCGGCGAGTCGCGCATCATGCGCCGCGGCGACGTCAGCGTCCAGCGCGCCACGGCCCACAAGTGGCGCAACATCACCGCCGGCGGCACCGAGGCCGGCCGCATGCTGTACGTGCTGCTCGACTGCAAGCAGCCGCTGTGGGTGGCGGGGGAGAAGGTGGAGGGGTTCTTGGGCGACTTGGAGAAGGAGTATGAGGGGAGGGGGCACTAGGGGGGGATTCTTTTGGCGGGCGAGGGAGAAAATGCGGGGGAGGGGGATGAGGGGTGTGGATTTAGAGAATATATGAAGTTTTTCTCCCTTCGTCGGCCCACGCGGCACTCGCTCCGTTTGAAATCTCGTCACGGAGAGGAGTTTGGCAATTCGCGAAGGGAACCGCCGTGTCTCAAAACGGCGAAAGCTCTCCTCGATCGCTGATTACATACCCGGACGGACTTTTCCAAAACTCTAGCTTCCTACACTTAAGCAGTGAAATGCGCGGAACCGAGGATAAGGAGACCGTGATACGGTATCGCAAATTTTCTAACGCTCCAACGCCCGACAAGACCAACTACACCACCGAACGGGAACCCCGCAGCCCCGGTTCCGAGCCACCCCCTACTCATTCCCCCGCCTCCACACCTCCGTCTCCTGCCTCAACTTCCCAAGGTTGAACACGGGCCAGAGGATGTAATCCTAGACGCAAACGGCATCAGCATCAGCCCGACCGACCCACACGCCCCGGGGCCGCGAAAAGCCCAAAAAGCCCGAAAAGAAAAAAATGATGAAAAAAGAAGAAAATGAAAAAAAAAAACATACCCAAACGGTCCGGAAGCCGAAAATGTCCATGAAGCGAACGATGCCCGTCGTGGCGCCGACCCAGTACCACGCCGGCGGGTTCGCCTTCAGGGTCTGGGGCACGACGTGGCCGGCGTAGACGGCGCGGGGGGTCGTGTCTGCGGCGGGTTCAGTTCCGTGGGTGCTTGGGGGGTGGGAAGGTAAAAAGTATGCGTGCGGGCGGACAGATCGGGCTTACCTGGGACCCGCTGCACGTGCTCTTGGAACTCGCGCGCGAGTGGGGCGTAGAAGGATCCTGTCGGGGGGGGAGGGAAGGGTAAGTATGGGATCTTTGGGCGAGCGGGGCGGACTTGGGGGGAAGTACCTTCGGGGAGGGTCCTGGCGGTGTCGCTTTTGAGGATGTTGGTCCCGATGTTGCCGGAGATGATCTGACGCTTTCGCGGTTAAAAAAAGGGGAAAGGGGGGTTTTTTTTTTCCGGTATGGAAAGTTGGAGGTCGTGTCGCTGCGGCGGTGGGGGGGACGGGACTTACGGTGGTGACTTTGACTCTGGGCACCGCGTCAGCGGGAACGGGTGGGGAAATCAGGATGTGGCATACCCGAGTGGCGCCATCTCCACCCTGAGTGTATTCGCCCAGTGGGCTAGGGCTGCTTTTGTCGCGTTGTAGGATGCTGTATACTACCGTCAGCTCTCGTGGGCCGACCGTCTTGCTTCGCTTCCGTGCGGCCGAGCATGAATGACTTACATCCATACATGTACGGTACGATGCCTCCGACGGAGCCGATGTTGACAATGGTACCTCGCGCTTTGATCAACATGGGATGGAAATGGTGCACCATTCGCATGGGGCCGAAGACGTTGACGTTGAACATCTTCTGGACTTCTCGCACGTCCGTGTCGATGCCTGTCATTGTGTAGCCTGATGGCGCAATTCAGCCTTTGGGCCACCGCAGCTTGGGAAGACGTGGGTAATGTTGTACTGACAGATGCCCCTGATATTGAAAAAGAAAGCATTGTCAGTGACTGGGTAAAAGGTCATGATACAGGAAGGGTCTTGGATAGGATATGTGGTTTTACTTACGCATTGTTCACGAGTACATGAAGGCGGCCTTCAGTGACTTTGTCCACGATCCTTTCGAGCGCTTGCACGGAAGCATCGTCGGTCACGTCGAGTTCATAGCATTGGATTCCGGCAGAGATCAGGTGATCTTTCGATTCCCATGGTAACACGGTTGTGATAACAGTACAGGCTGTCGCAGTAGAAATCAGAAGTCATTATTTGCGTCCAACGCATCCTCTCACGATGAGTACAGCACTCCAATGAACGCGACTGCTGCTTGCAGAAATCCTACTTCAATACGGGAAGATGGAGACAGCGCTACCTTTCTTTTGATATTCTCTCGCCAGCGCTTCACCAATGCCGCCTTCACCGCAACTGGACGACAGAAGTCAGGAGTGGTCCACTGTGATATGGAAATAGTTTTACCCCGTTATGAGGACATATCTCTGCGCCATAACAACCGCCCGCTGTCTTTTGGCGAACGTCTTGACTGGAAATCTGACCCCAGCAGGCAATGGCACCGGGAAAGGCTGCAAAACGCTCATGTCAAGAAAAGATTATTCCGATCGGCACCAGCGCGCAAAACAGCGTCCTTGACTTCCAATACACGAGGGTGAAGCCCAAGGACTTGTTGCTTTGCCATCGGTAAGCTTCTTCACCTTACTGGGGCGTTCTACTGCAAGAGAAAAAAGATTGCCGCTCATTGGCACCAGAGGATGATCCACTGAAAGTCTATCAATCAGCTGTATCATCGGCCCTGACACCCATGCATTTGTGGACCAAACCAGCCAAATAGCGTTATGACTGTCAGCAGCCTTGTAACCCTGTCAAGTGAGGTGACTTGACACCACTAGAGTCTTTTGGGGTTAGTGTTATATTGCCATCCTTCGTACCTGCAGCATTCTGACAGCCCTAGCTTGTCACTTTACTGCTACCACGTTTCTATCGAACTCCGTCCTGACACAGATTGCAGACTCGGAGATTATACTTGCAGCAGTAGTGTCCCCGGTTGTAATGTCGTTAGTCCCTCGCGTGATCCGAACCCCCAGCCAGCCTTCCACGGCACACAAGCCTTCCTGGTGGTCACAACTAATGTCAGGCCATGTTTCTGAGGCTCTAGGATCCTGTACAGAACCCAGCGCCTCGAAATTTGTGGTCGCAAGCGAGAATGTTGGACTCCGAAGTGGCAAAGCCAGGATGTCGGGACTGGATTTGCTATGCAAGCCACCAGAACGGCAACTCCACTCGGATGCATGTCATATGCCTCAATTTCTTACCTCCATATGTCGACGGCACTACGGGGTGGGGACCTGAGTTGGTAAGCTAGACTGGTCAGTCGGTGGTATGCTATACTTTTCAACGCTACCGTGAACTGGAACGCCGACTCGGATAGCGGCCTACAGTAATCAGTGCTGGAGTGAACTTGTTCCTGATTGCAACGGCGATAAACAAAAGCCACTTGCATTACTTCAAGATTGCCCTTCAGCATCAGCATCAGAAGTTCAGCACCTTAGCTTCAAAGACTTTTCGAAGTCTTGACGAAGCCTCAAACCCTTCACCATTCTGTCTTTATGGCTTTTCTGTCAAGCATTATACATTGAATTTCTAAATTTCTTCAGTGTAATGGCGCCATCAGTAATGATCAACGTTGTCGAGCCTCCGCAACATGAGCTCAAGAAGATTGAGACCGTGGTTGTGAAGAGCGTTTCGCCTTCTCCTTCGACCGAGGATGATCATGATTTACCAAAGCTAGAGCGGATGCCTCAGACCGTTAGGACCAATGGTCAGGTAAATGGCTTCCGTACTCCAGAGACAATCGATTCGCTTGACTCAGATGATCCGGTGGTCATAGTCGGCATGGGTGAGTGACCTCCTTTCCTGTTATCGATTACTTTGGTAGGCTCTATCACGTGCTTCGGACTGACTATGTCCTCAGCCTGCCGACTTCCAGGAGGAGTCTCATCGCCTCACGATCTCTGGAATCTGCTTATTCAGCAGAAATCGGGTCAATGCAAAGTCCCCAAGGAGCGCTTTAACATTGACGGTTATTACCATCCGGAAGGCGATCGAGCAGGGGCCATGATTTCCAAAGGCGGATACTTCCTTAACGAAGATGTCCGACAGTTCGAGAACACATTCTTTGGCATCAACAATCTCGAGGCAACCTACATGGATCCCCAACAGCGAAAGCTACTCGAGGTGGTCTATGAGTGCTTCGAAAACTCAGGAACCTCGCTGGAAGATGTTGCTGGATCCAACGTTGGCGTCTACGTTGGCAATTTCACCGTCGACTTTCAGACAATGCAAACCCGGGACCCAGAATACCTCCACCGATATAGCGCCACCGGTTCAGGTACCGCCATCTTGGCGAACCGTCTGAGCTATATTTTCGACCTTCGAGGACCTAGGTAAAGCCTTCAAGTTAAAGACGTATGCACAATCAAACATGCTGACCCTGACCAGTTTTGCACTTGACACAGCCTGCTCATCTACCATCTATTGCCTGCACAATGCCGTTGTCGCACTGCAGGGTGGCGAGTGCGATGCGGCCATAGTAGCAGGCGCGAATCTCATCACCGCTCCAGAGCAGCATCTCGGAACGATGAAGGGCGGGGTTATATCCCCCACATCGACGTGCCACACATTCGACGCCAGTGCTGACGGCTACGGAAGAGCCGAGGGTGTCAACGCTCTTTACGTGAAGAGATTATCGACTGCACTCAGGGACGGCGACCCTATTCGGGCAGTGGTTCGTGGAACTGCGATCAATGCGTAAGTTGCGAAACTTTGCTTTACTGCTTCGTGGACTTACATCCCTTTAGCAATGGAAAGACATCCGGAATCACACAGCCCAGTATCCTTGGTCAAGAAGAGGTCATCCGGAAAGCATACAGGAAAGCCGGACTTGACCCGAAGGACACAGCCTACGTCGAATGCCACGGAACTGGAACCGGGGTAGGCGATCCTATGGAAGTCGAAGCTCTAAGCAACTTCTTCCCACGCGATCGCCCAACACCGCTTCTTCTTGGTGCAGTAAGCAGATCTCATGTCTTTTCCTCTTGCAGACTATCTAACTCAATTTCTACAGAACAAGACGAATCTCGGTCATAGTGAAGCAGCAAGTGGGATATCAGCAGTCATCAAAGCTGTACTAGCCCTGGAACACAAAAAGATCCCAGCAACAATTGGAGTCGAAAAACTCAACCCAAAGCGTAAGGAACTCCGAGCCCGGTAATGATTCTGAGTTTTCAAAGTCTGACCTTGATATAGTGCATCTGGACGAATGGAACATGAAGGTTGTGACACAACTTACAGACTGGCCAACTCCATTGCACCGGGCTAGTATCAACTCTTTCGGGTATGGTGGAGCAAACGCTCACGCCATCCTTGACTCGGTTAATAATTTCTTGCCTGGATACAACGAATCAAGAAATGAGCAACCTATGGGAGATCCAACAAGGCTTTATGTGCTACCATTTTCCGGTTCAACAACTCAATCTCTCGAGGCTAGGATCCTTGACCTTTCCAAGCGCTTCAGTCTTGGCGAGACCTACAACTTTTGTAACCTGTGTCACACTCTGGCCGATCGACGCTCAAAATTGAGCAAGAAGGGCTTTCTTATCACAAGCGCAGCCACAGCCAAGAACGACTTTAGGCTTGACAACTTGGTCACACCTAAAAAGGTTACGCCAAAGCTAGACTTCGGCTTCATATTTACCGGTCAAGGCGCACAATGGCCTCAGATGGGGAAAGAGCTTCTGGAGAAGTACCCATTGTTCTCTCAAACAATCGATTACCTGGATAGCGTCCTTCAGGCCCTTCCAGAAGCACCAGTATGGACCATCAAGAACGCCTTGCTCGAGCCGGCTGCCACAAGCAAAGTTGGCGACGCGAGCTTTTCCCAACCGCTTTGCACCGCTGTCCAGGTCGGCATAGTTAAGCTTTTGCAAAGCTGGAACGTGGAGCCCAGCATAGTTGCCGGTCACTCGTCTGGAGAGATTGCTGCCGCTTATTCTGCCGGTCTACTTACTGAAGCTCATGCCATCATCATTGCGTTCTACCGTGGCTACGTTGTAACGAAAATTACCTCAAAAGGCTGCATGCTCGCGGTCGGTATGGGTGCTGATGACGCAGAGGCCAAGATAGACGAGATGTCCCTTCGAGATGAGATATGTGTGGCTTGCGTGAATTCGCCGGAAAGCGTCACAATTAGCGGAAGCGCAAAGGGTATCGACATCTTGGCCAGCGAACTTCAAGGTAAGAGCATTTTTGCAAGAAAGTTGGCCACTGGAGGCAGGGCGTACCATTCGTTCCTGATGAAAGAAGTTGGTGAAGAGTATGAGAGCCTTGTCAGCAAAGCTATGACAGGATTGCCGATGAACACTAGTCAGGAAGATGGCAAGGAAGCCGTCAGGTTTTTTTCGAGTGTTGGCAAAGGCAGTGATGCACTTGCCTCATTCTCTCGTGAGACCAACAACTTCATACGACCAGCTTATTGGAGAGCAAATCTGGAAAATCCAGTGCAGTTCAGCACAGCCATCAAGAACATTGTCGCGACTGGAAAGTACCATTTGCTTGAGATTGGTCCTCATGGGGCTCTTCAGCTTCCCATCAAGCAAATTCGAACCTTCCTAGGACTCCCGGAGGACGACCTGCCGTACACCTCTACCTTGGCGCGAGGCAAAGACGCTGATATCTGCATGAAGACTCTCGCAGGAGAATTGTTCTTGAGCGGGCATGAGATTGATTTCCTAGAAGTCAACAACACTCAATTCGATGGTGACAAGCACAACGCTGCTGTAATCAATGACTTACCACCCTACCATTGGAGCTATACTCAGCTCTTGTGGAACGAACCAAGGTCAAGTATAGACTTACGCAATCGAAAGTATGTTCGACATGAACTCCTGGGATCCGAAACTGCAGCAGCAAATGGCATTGAGCGCTGTTGGAGAAACATCTTCAAGCCATCAGAGGTCCCTTGGATAGATGATCACCGGGTAAGCAGAGCAAATGTCAACCTCAGCGTTTCTTACTGACAGGAGCCCCTTTAGCTGGAGGTCCAGGTAGTCTTTCCCGCAGCGGGTTATCTTGCAATGGCAATGGAAGCGCTTTCGCAAATCAAGCTTTGGCATCCTGATCAGGATATCAGACCATCATTCACCTTCCGCAACGTCAACATTTCGTCGGCGCTGGTGGTCACAGATGGTGATCAGGAAACTGAGCTTTTCACCACGATGTACGAAGAGAAGATTTCCAAAGCGTCCACATCCAGCATCTGGTACGACTTCTCAATATCTTCGTTCCAAAGCGGTGCCTCGATCTCGCACTGCGTTGGAAGCATCAGTGTGAGCATTGTACCATCTGAGAAGACCGGCGCTACGACTGTCGACGCCACCAACTATGACAAATGGGCCATGGGCAGATGGTATGAAAAGTTGGCCCATGAAGGACTATGCTTTGGCCCTGCTTTTCAGACTCTAACTTCCATGAAGACTGACAAGGCGAGGGTAAAGCCTGAAGCCCTTTCAACTACCAAATTGTTCCAGAGAGTTCCAAAATCGACAAAGTTCCCCGGGACTTATTATGGTGTTCACCCACTAGTCGTTGATGCTTGTCTCCAAGCTGCAATCATGGGGGGAACCGCTGGTGATGTCGGCAATCTCAAGGCCTTCTTGCCCGTCTTCTTCGGTCACCTGCAAATTTCCACACCAGATGCTGACCGATTGGGGTCGGAAGTCTCTATTCACTCTCAGTCACAGACCACGGGGTTCAGCACCAAGAAGATCAATGTCACACTCAGAGATGACAAAGATGAGGTACTCATTGACATGTCAAACACCAGACTGTCATTATACGTCGGCAAGATGGATGAAGAGATTGATCCATCCGAGGCTAATAGGCATCCGACCTTGCGAGTGGTCTGGAAGCCAGATATTACTCGTCTGGATGAAAGTTGCAGAACAGATTTGGATGCCTACCTGGAGCAGTTCCTATCTTCCCACCACACCCTTCGCGAAAATGTGAGTTCGGGTGTGATGGCTGGCTTGGTGGATCTTGCCGGGCATAAAAATCCACGACTTCGCGTTTTGGAAGTGGGGAGAGACTGCGATTGCAAGACTAAAGGATTCCTTGACATCTTGGACAACAAATCAGATTTCCCGCGTTCGCGCGAGTGGCACATTGGCAGCTTCTCAGATGGTGAATTAGTCACTCATCCAGCCCATATTCCTGAAAAGGTTGAGAAGACCAAGCTCGATGGTGACAATATCCCTACCTACGATATGGTCGTGATGCCTAATGTGAGTCTCCTGATGCTGCAACCACCATGGCATGCCTAACAAAATACAGAAGTCGACTACGGGCGAACTATGGCAAAACATAGCGGATAATCTCTCAAAGGTCCTTAGCCCACAGAGTATCTTGATCGGCAGAAGTTCTGCTGTCGCAGGCAAGTGTCTGAAAGAGTCTGGATGCAAGGTCTTCAACCTGGTAGGCGGCGTCATGCTCGCTATAACGCCTCAAAAGCCTCGGAAACTGGAGGGGAAACAGATCATCCTTGTATGTTGTTTTCAAAATCTGCAGGAAGTGCACTGAAATATCTGACACGGTCCAGGTCGAGCAGTCTTCGTCCCCATCAGATCTCTCGAAAGAGATCAGAGCCCATTTCGATGGCATTGTTGGAGCTGATAATGTCAAATCTTATTCGCTAAAGGACCTGGAAAATCTAGAGTTGCCTCCCAAGTCTGTTACCATCTCACTCCTGGAATTGGAGAAGCCACTGTTGGCCGTAATGACGCCAGAGGAGATGGATCTGGTGAGGAAGATAACCGACACGACCACCGACCTCGTCTGGTTGACTGGAGCCTCTTACATGGATGGATCTGCGCCGAGTTTGTCGTTGGCTAGTGGGTTGTCTCGAGCCTTGATGCTGGAACAGCCATCTCTTCGGTTCGTTATCCTGGACATCGGAGTCTCTGCACACATGTGCAAGTCAGACCAGACCGGTATTTGCAGCAACATCGATAGAGCACTTTTCGCAGATGACGTCCCGGATGACAAGGAGTTCGTATTGAAGAGTGGTCTTCTACACATCAGTCGCTTTGTGCCCGATGCTGGTTTAAACACTCGTTTCAGCCAAAGACGGAACCAGCAACCGAGCGAGATGACGCTCGAAGCGGCGTCCCCAGCTAAGCTTGAGATCAAGAAAGTTGGTATAATGGACACCATATACTTTCAACAAGAGTCAGAGACCGAGATAGAGCTTCCAGACGACCTGGTTGACATAGACGTGAAAGCTGTCAGTCTCAATGCAAAGGTATGAATCAAAGTCCGAAGTGATCGAATGCGCAAAGGCTGAACCGTGATCCAGGACATCTACGTTCTCTCTGGTAAAGTCGAGACCAGGAAGGGCACGTCTGCCATTGAGTTCAGTGGCATCGTAAAAGCTGTCGCGAAGAATGTCACAGACCTGCAGCCTGGTGACCGAGTTTGTGTGCTGGCACCGAACACATTCAGAACCACCGAGAGAGTACCAGGATGGGCTTGTCACAAGATGCTCCCCGAAGAGAGCTTCGAGGTACTGATACTCTCTCATTAACGATCTCGTAAAATAGCTGACAAACTGAATACAGATTATGCCCACGCTTCCTGTCATTTACGGCACAGCGCTCTACGCGTTGGATGATCGCGCACACTTGAGGGCTGGAGAGGTAACAAGCGTTCTCCTAGTACCACATCAAAACTGACAATTCGATCTTAGACTATTCTCATTCACTCTGGCGCTGGCGCCTTTGGCATGGCCTCGATAGCCATTGCGCAAATGCGAGGCGCCACAGTCTACGCAACTGTAAGCACGGAAGATAAGAAAGATTTCCTTGTGAGCGAGTTGGGTATGCCACGAGAGAACATTTTCCAGTCCAGAGATACTTCGTTTATGGAGAGCGTCTTTGCGGCCACGAATGGAAAAGGTGTGGACGTTGTGCTCAACTCGTTGACTGGTGATCTTCTCCATGCCAGTTGGAGATGCTGCGCCAACTTCGGAAGGTTCGTTGAAGTTGGAAAACGTGACATTGTCGATGCAGGAAAGCTCGATATGGATGTGTTCTTCCGCAATGTGACCTTTACTGCTTTCGATCTGACCGAGCTCTTCTACCACGAGGACCAGTTCTACAGGGACATTTGGATCAAGTATGTCTCGTACCCTCTCCTCACGCGGAGCCTGCTAATGAATTGCAGTAAATCCAAGGAAGCTCTAGAGCTGTATCGTTCCGGCGCTGTCAAGCCAGTTCCCATCAAAACCTTTGACGTCTCAGAGATCACGCAAGCGTACCGTTTCTTCTCTCAGAAGAACAGAGTAGGCAAAGTTGTCATTTCAATGCAGAATCCTCAGAGTATTGTTCAGGTACGACGCTGTCTCTCTTGTCAAGCGAAAATTATGTTAATGAGCCCACAGGCCGTTCCCGCACAATATACAGCGAAGTTTGACGCCAACAAATCATACGTCCTGATCGGCTGTCTGGGAGGACTCGGACGTAGTCTAAGCAAGTGGATGTTCCAACGAGGTGCCCGCAATTTCACATTCCTTGGGCGCTCCGCTACCGACAAACAAGCGGCCCGTGAAGTAGTCCACAACCTTGAAAAAGCCGGCGCCACTGTCCAGGTCGTTCGTGGTGATGTGAGCAACAAAGACGATGTCGTTGCTTGCATGACTGTCTCTCCGAAGCCAATTGGTGGCGTAGTTCAAGCCGCTATGGGTCTGCACGAGGCTCTTTTCTCTACCATGACCAACGCAGCATGGCACACGGGTATCCAACCGAAGTGGCGTGGGACCTGGAACATCCACGAGGCCCTCGAAGGTATAGACGACAAGCTAGACTTCTTCCTGCTGACCTCCTCTGTCTCCGGGAGTGTCGGCACTGCCACGGAAAGCAATTACTGCTCCGCCAACGGATTCCTGGATGCCTTCGCTCGATACCGCCACAGTCTAGGCAAACCAGTCAGCTCCATCGGCTTTGGCATGATTTCCGAAGTCGGCTATCTCCACGAAAACCCAGAGATCGAAGCGCTACTCCTTCGCAAAGGCATCCAGCCTCTCAATGAAAAGGAGTTCTTGCAGGTGCTTGACCTTTCACTATCGGGCACGCCATCGGCAGGAGGCATGGAGTACGATAAGCTCGCTCAGTCCCACATCCTGACCGGCTTGGAGCCCCACGGTATTCGCAAGATGATGGAGCAAGGCTTCGACGTCAACAACGGAACTATGCAAGACCCTCGCACAATCCTCCTCTCCGCCTCCCTCGACGCCGGCTCGGCAGAAGATGGTGGGGCCGTCGCATCCATCGACGCTTCCTGGTCCAAAGGCCTCCCAGCACCCGTCATCAAAGCTCTCGCGGCGGAAGCAGCGGGCGCTGCATCCCTGAACGAGGCTATCTTACTGCTTGTGTCCAGGAGGTTTTCAAATTTGCTGCTCATGCCGCTGGATAAGGTGGACAGCAGGAAGCCACTGGCGTCGTATGGAATGGACAGCATGATTGCGGCGGAGTATAGGTCGTGGTTCTGGAGCGTTTTCAAGGTGGATATTCCGTTCTTGGATATCCTGAGTTCGACGAATCATCTGCAGACGTTGGCGGGGATGGTAGAGAAAGATCTTGTGGAGAACAAGGACGGATGAGATGATTACACTGTGAGAGATGGACGATGATGGTGATGGTGGTGATTATGACAGGTTGTTCGACATGCTTGCATTGGGAAGTGTTTAAAATACCTGCGTTAGATAGATTTTCTTGACTTCGTATACATCTCATGCACTGCTGTCCCAAACTTGACTTTGTGACTTCTGTCGACTCGAGATGGGTGCAGACCATTTGTAGGGATTCGGAGGGTAGACTGTCGATTGGACATTTGAACGGCTTTGTTGGCAGTGGGCCACAGCATTAACAATGGACAGTGATGATCGGCGACGTTCAGCAATACCAGACGCGAAGCAACCTCTGCACAACTAATAGGGTTGATCATTGAATGGAGGCACGAAGATAGAAAATTGTAGCATTCGGCCGTCAAGAGGGGGATGATTGAGCGCGTGTGACGCGTTGAGCGCGTTTCCTCTTATGGGCTGGTCGCGGGGTCGTACACTTAACACAAAGACTCACACTCACAGCTCAATCTATGTGTTTCAACAAAGCTTCTCCTGCGGATTATTTGACAAGATGATAGGCCCCTGTTGGGAGGTGTGGTGGTGGGGAGGCTCGGAGGTTGGTTGGAGGGCCATTCCTAGCGTGCTGGCATATTCGCAGACAGCTGCACTTCCTGTAGAGTACTGGTAGTTAGCGATTTCGAAATGGATAAGATTGCTTGGCAAAAAAAATCGCGCCCCCCCTCCGGCTTTGCCACCATAAATCCAAAAAATCCAAAAAAAAAATCATGTTTTTCTTATCTAAATTTATGAATATTAATTATTAAGAAGTCTTTTCTATATAAAATCTAGTTTATTTAACAAGTTCTATTAGTCTTTTTTTGTCAAGTTTTTTTAAACTGAATTTTTATTTTTATTAAGTAAAGTAACGAAGTAAACGTACTCTTCTATACAAAATTAAGGTTATCAAAAAGATTCTCTTAAAATTAATCTGAAAAAAAAAGTAATAGAATTAATAAATCGATACAACTTTAATATAAACAAGATTAATAAATAATAAAAATTCATAAATCTAGATAAGAAAAACATGGTTTCTTCTGAATTTTTATATATTTTTGATAGCAAAGTCGGAGGCTGGGCGCGATTTTTTTTGCCAAGCAATCTTATCCATTTCGAAATCGCTAAAGTTGGTGCACCTGGATACCGACTCCCATGGATGATATGTTTATTCATGGACTGCATGGATGCAGTAAGCTTGCCAGATTTATCATATCAAGTCAGTGCTTTCTCTTGCGTCTCGCCTTTCCACAGCTTCCGCATTCTTGAGACTGATGTGGGAATTGGTGTGGGAATTTTCTGCCAAAAATCACCTGGCCTTGCGTTGGGAAACAATCCAGGCAATGTCTCCTGCAATGCATGCGTCTCGAGACATAGGACAGCCTACAGACAACAGCAACTTCGAGAATGACGAGAAGTCCGAGCTACCTTCCCAGCTGAGGACGGGAAGTGTGACTGTATTGGACCTCGCGTCTTCCTCACCGCCAGACAACTTCAACTCAGGATGGCGCTTCTATGCTTCATTCACCAGTCTCTGCATAATTACCCTCGCAGTGGCCTTGGATGCCACTTCGCTTTCCGTCGCTCTTCCCGTAATTGCCCACTCACTTCCATCGATAGCTTTTTAAAGCCATTCATGGGTACTCTTCTGAGACCCATCGGCTGGTTTGGAGAAAAAAGAGACTACACTGACGCTCAAAACTAGATTATTTCTGAATCTCTCCACGGCAGTGCCATCGCCGCCTTCTGGTGCGGGACATCGTTCCTCCTATCCTCCACTGCTTTCCAACCCACCTTCGCTTCGCTTTCATATATACTCGGCCGCAAACCTCTCCTTCTCGTCGCCCTCCTTTTCTTCACAGTAGGTGCAATAGTCGGTGCACTCGCCCAGAATTTCACTTCCCTCTTGGTTGGCCGCAGCATCCAGGGCGTCGGTGGCGGCGGCATTATTTCTCTGACTGAAATCCTCATCACCGACCTCGTCCCTCTGCGTGAGCGCGGTAAGTGGTTCGGCTTTCAGAGCCTAACATGGGCACTTGGGTCAGTCACCGGTCCCTTGATCGGCGGCGCCTTCGCCCAGGAAGCCACTTGGCGCTGGATCTTCTGGATAAATCTGCCCTTCTGCGGCCTGGGCTTCCTCACGCTCCCTTACTGCCTACGACTACATCACCCTCCAGGTCGCCTTGCAAGCAAAATTCTGCGCTTTGACTGGGTCGGCGCCATTCTCCTAACTGCGTCCACTACCTCGTTCCTTATGCCGGTCTCTTGGGGCGGCGTCATGTTCGCATGGTCCTCCTTTCGCACTCTGGTACCGTTTATACTTGGGATCTGCGGCCTCTTGGTCTTCGTCATGTACGAGATCTATGTCGCAAAAACGCCATTGATCCCTTTACGCATTTTTAGTAACCGTACTGCAGCAGTCAACTGCTTTGGCACACTTGTCCACGGCATGCTCCTTTGGTGTTTACTCTACTACCTTCCACTCTATTACGAGGCCGTCAAGGGCTACAGTCCCATCATCGTCGGCGTCGCCGTCTTTCCCGAGACTTTCACTGTCGCGCCCGCGTCTATCCTCGTCGGCATCGCAGTCAGTATCACGGGCCGCTTCCGCTGGGCCATCTGGTCCGGATGGTCGCTGACAGTGCTGGGCATGGGATTGCTGTTCTTGCTAGGCCCGGAGACGAGCGTGCCGGCATTTGTGTTTTTGAACCTCATACCCGGCTTGGGATTGGGCTTGCTGTTTGCGAGCATGAACCTGGCCATACAGGCAGCGGCGACAGAGAGAAATGTTGGGTATGCGGCGGCCATATATATCTTCATGCGCTCGCTGGGCCAAAGCGTCGGTGTTGCCGTCGGCGGTGTCATATTTCAGAGCGAATTTGCCGTTGAACTCCGCGGGTACCCGGACCTAGCCAGGAATGCGACAGCGCTAGCGCAAGATGCCAGTGGGTTGGTGCAGGTCATCAAGGCGATGCCCGAGGGCGCGGCGGAGAGGACCGCGGTCGTGTATGCATACGCGGACGCGTTGAAGGTCGTATGGGCGGTCATGGCCGGGCTGGCGTTTGTCGCACTTCTGCTGGCTCTCGGAACAAAGGGGCTAAGTTTAAATGCGAAGATGGAGACGGAGCAGGCGCTCAGAGAGCGAGAGAACGATCAGCGTTTGAGGTAGTAACGCCGAGAACGTGTAAAAATATCACTCAAGGAGGAAAAATCAGAAGGACTGATGGAATTCTTCCTGTTCCTTGGAAATCGTCGATATAGCCTACAGCGTGATACCCCAGATCTTGCTTGATTGGGAGATCCAATGTACTTTACATATATACTAAATCCATAGAAATAGATATATAGACTATAGATGGGGTAAGTCTATGTATGGTTCGCTACTGCATAAGTATAATAAGAGAGAATGTGAGTTGAGTGAGTGAATGAAAGATGGAGGGAGAGTAAACTGGAAAAATGGCATCCATGAGAAGGAGGGGCTTATTCAGCTCTTTCACTCCTTTAGAGATCTCAAAGAGCAGGAGAATACCGGAGCCCTCTTGATCCTGTTTGTTGTTCATGCGTCCGTTCGTTACTCTTTTCGACAGTCAGTCTTGAGCGCAATGGAGACCTGATCACTCCTAGCCTCGGATTTCCCATCTGTTCCTGTTCGTTAATAAAAAGCTCAGTGTTAGATTACCCTAGGATGACTCATGCGGACCATACAATAAGAGAATGTAGCAGAAGTCATGCATTAAGGCGATCCCAAAGGTTCTAAGCCTCAAGAGGTGCACCGCCAGAAAGTTGGAACAGTTGCAACAAAACGAACCTCAAAATATTATCCAGGTAAGTGAAGGGAAGATGAATAGCCGACTTATTCTGGTTGAGACCCATGGAAGTGTGCGAAAAATGGAGAAACCTGGGCTCTTAGCGTTGCCACCTTCTTCTTGAGACCTGGTGTAATTACAGGACTCCGGAATCGTTGTGAGGGTCGAAACTTTTTAGAAATCTTTGCCTGCTTATCCTCCCCTCCTATGCATGACTTTTGATCGATCCTCTTACCACAAAGTGGAGAGCCAGAACGGTATCCACGCTCGTGAAAACCAGCTTTTTGGGGCAACGGCAGCGTGAGTCTCCCACTGTTCTTGAGAAATGAGTTATATGCCAAGCGCGTGATATCTTTTGGGTTCCAGGATCGCTCCAGCAGTGTGCCACTTGTTAACTTGTATAGATGCTAACAAAGAGCAGACCCGGACGGCTTCATCAACCTGCTTGTCGTGGCCTCCTAGCCACACAACGAGGTTTGGCGCCACGATAGATGTCACCAATGATAGAGACCTGCCCACGGCGTTCCTGTTGACTCGTGCAGATTTTATCGACCCATATGTTATTGACTTCTCAATATCTTGTATGACACATCCTACTCCAATCAATCTGAGCCAATGTAGCAGGGTACATATCTGACGAGGGTTGTCCCTGTCCTTGCTGACCTTGAAGTTGGAAACGAGAGCCGACATTCTTTGACGTAGCTGGATGAGCGCATCATGTAGATTCTTATGAAATTTGAAAGCACGGCCGTCGCATTCAATCTTCTAGCTACAGGTTCTGTACTCAGCGGCTGGAGGATTGAATCCGCGCCAGAAGGGGTCGCCCCACGATTAGGAGAGTGTAGTGAAACATCTTTGTAGTCAAGGTTCACAGTCCTCATGCAGCATCTTACTCTTGTTGCACGACTGTGAGGGACTCTTCAATTAGTACAGATCTAAGATCAGTACGGGGAAGTATCCATAGAAGTCGAATAGGTCTCGTTGCTAGCAAGTCCGTATACTGGTAAGGCTCCAGTCTCTTCTCGACCTCGTGCGTACAGAGTCATTAAGGGTTGACTCTCGAACTTGTCCAAAGAACTCTGGTCTATCTCCTGACTAATGTAATGTAGTCATTCGGCTCGTCAAACTCCGACCAGAGACGTGCTGGGGTCTAGAGGTCGGTTAGAGTTATTCGCTGATGCTTCGTCTTGCATATTTGGATGGGAATGAGAATTACAACACTAAGCAACGACAACGACGACAAAAAGATGATAATTTTAGAGTGAACTGTTAGAAATGATCGACGAGTTTCTCGTACATATGAGGAAGGAAAAACAGGTACGAAAGAAAGGTGACACCCCGGGGGCAATGCTCAATAAAGACATCGAGGCCAGCCCGCGCCCACAGCAGAGAAGTCAGCAGATTGAATACTGTTATGCCAGGATTGATAGAATTGGAAAGGTAAGCCTTGATATGCCCGCCTCGTCGTGGTAGGGAAGTACATATAATGGTGTGCAACCTCGGCGCGGCTCCAACTTTGTTCTCCTTCTCAAAACCACGGCTGCTGGGAAGCCTGAAGACTCCAATGATATGTACTTGCTGGCGACTACCCAAGTACTTTTTAATCAACAGAAAAGCCATCGGAATGGAAAGGGATTTGGGCATGGGACTCACCTAGCGTGGGGCGCTTAGTGCGGCACATACATACTTGTACCCTCTTTTACTGCCAAGAATTCCTTGGCGTGGGACACACCAGCAATTCTGAAGCAGACACCACAATCCTACTTATCCTTTTGCATAAGCTTGTTATCCTGTACAGAATATGAGATTATTGAGTGGTTGTAGCTAGTATAATTCACTCCAAAATCCTTGATCCGCCAGTGCATGCGCGCAAATGTCAGGCCGTTTCGTGCGCTCGTCCAAGTACCGTAGGCATCTCGTGCAGCTACCTTCCCCACGGGCTACCACATGCTAAGCACTGATTCAGGGCATGTCTTCGGCCGGCCGACGAGGAAGGTGCGATTGTCAGAACCCAGAGAAGGGTTTGTGGCGTGGGGCTGAGCAGGTCTTTAGGAACAATGCTACGATAACATACGGGTCTCGAGAAATGCTTGGGATACGAACCTTGTAAAGGTAATGCACAACGCATTGGAGCTTGCGACCTGGTCTGACAGTAGCACAGGCCAACCCGCAGTACATTTCAGTCAACTGGGAAGCCAGTGGAGGAGGCGCGTTCGCGGTCATACCAATTAATGAGAAGGGGCGATTGCCTGAGCAATTACCTCTTTTCAGGGGACACACTGCTGTGGTTTTGGACACGGACTGGTAGAAGGTTTCTACAATGCACGATCATGCCGGTGCTGAGGCAGCTCACAGGTCTCCATTCAACGATTCTCTGATAGCATCAGGATCCGACGATGGCAAGGTATGACGGAGGCTATAGCAGTCTTGGGTCTGAAGCTCACTGTGGCAGGCATTCATATACAAAGTTCCTGAAGGTTTCACACTACGGACAGAAGAAGGCGAAACGGTCAAGGATGTTGCGCCAGTCCAGAAGCTCTCCGGGCATTCAAGGTACCATGGCTACAGATCCGGTACAAAGATTTCCGTACTGACATCGTGTATAGAAAGGTAGGCCACGTCCTCTTCAACCCAGCTGCCGAAAATGTCCTCGCAACTTCCTCAGGCGACTATACTATCAAGATTTGGGATATCGAGGCCGGCACTCCCCGCCTGACCCTCAAGCACACAGATATCGTACAATCTCTGTCATGGAGCGCGAACGGCTCTCTAATGGTTACAACGTCTCGGGACAAGAAGCTGCGAATATGGGATGTACGGCAAGAGAAGCCAGCACACGTTGTGCCCGGTCACCAAGGAGCAAAGAACAGTCGCGTGACCTGGATGGGCGAACATGACAGGGTAGCTACAACGGGTTTCTCAAAGATGAGTGACAGGCAATTAGGTCTGTGGGATATCAGAGACCCTAAAGAACCTGTGGGAGGCTTTCAGATGCTGGATGCGATATCTGGGGTCTGCATGCCTTTCTGGGATGATGGAACACAGTGTCTCTACCTTGCAGGAAAAGGGTACGCCGTCCACCTCTTGCTGTAAGACTCTTAAACATACTGATAGTTTGCAGTGATGGCAACATTCGCTACTTCGAATACGAGAACGGCAAATTCGAGTTCTTGTCTGAATACAAATCCGCCGACCCGCAACGAGGCATGGCCTTCCTTCCGAAGCGCGGCGTCAATACTCACGAGAACGAGGTTATGCGTGCCTTCAAGACCGTCAACGACTCATACATTGAACCAATATCATTCATCGTGCCGCGACGAGCCGAGGTCTTCCAGGATGATATCTTTCCCCCCGTGGTTGGCTCGAAACCTGCCATGTCAGCTGCTCAGTGGTTCGACGGCAAAGAGGGTCTGCCGCCTAAGATCGATTTGGCCAGTGTATATGCAGGCGAAGAACCAGCGGAGGTAGCAGCGGACTACAAGCCCGCTGTCCATGCAAATTCGCCTCCAGCGCCCTCCCCAACGAAGAAAGCACCTGAACCAACATCGGAGCCAGCAGCTCCCGCATCCGCTCTCCGCGCCCCACCGCCATCAATGAAAGACCAGACCTCTTCTATCAAAGATCTGGCCTCCAAATTCACCGATGACAAAGAAGACGATGAGTCTGAGGAAGACAGCTCTTCGTTCGAAGAGATCGCCAAACCCATCGATCGCTCTGAGAGGCATGTACCCGCTACAGCCCCAACTGAAAGGTCGGAGCCGGCGGCTATCTCAAGAGGTTTAGGAGACCCTCTCTCGCCAGTCGACAAACCAGACGATTTTGAGCAAGCAAGTCAGGTAGCAGCCAGTCAAGATACTCCGACATTGATCAAGAAAGAGCGAGCGCCACCATCGAAATCTACAGAGAAGCCACTAACAAGCAATTCTACTCAAGAGCCGCTCTCCAGCAAATCTACTCAAGAGCCACTCTCCAGCAAATCTACTCAGGAACCTCTTGCGAATGCTAACTCACGACCGCACGCTGGAAGCGTTTCGGATCAACCTATTCAAAGATCGTTGGCAGAGATCAAGAGCTTGTTGGAGCAGCAGACTATGACTATGAGTGCGCAGAGTCAGGAGATTAGTAAGTTGACAGCTGAAGTGGATCGGTTAAGGACGAAGTTGGGGGAGTAGAGGAATTGTTTTGTGAGTAGTACTGTGTCTGTTCGCAAGGCAGGACTTTCTGCTCTTGGTCATGCGTTGTACGAAGATGAACATGGGCAAGTTTGCTGCTACAGTTCGTTCACCTGTGACAATTGCGATTTTGGAGAAATTGTTCAGTGTGATTGTTGACACTGGGGTTTGGAGCTGCTTATATCCTAAAAACTGCTCGATATGATCCCTACTGATGTCCTGTCGTCTTGATGTTGTTGAATTCAGTCTCCTTTTCTCGTCCCAGCTCGGTCCGAGATAAAATTTCCTTCAAACCCAGTTGCCTACCTTCTGCTATAGATCACACCGACGAAGCTGGTCTGCTCTGAATGAAGTTCCTCAATCTTCCCTTCCGTTGGCTAGAGATTGGACCTTCTTCGTCCTCCACATCTTCGTCTTCATCGAGATTGACAGTGTCCTTCGCATCCATGCCCTTCATTCTCTCCCGAACAGCGGACTTCCTCAGCTCTCGATCTGTTGACCCCTTCGCCTCCGGCTCCTCGGGCTCCTTGGGCTCTCGCTTCCGCTCCTCCTTACCCTCCCCTTCCGGCTCGGCTTCGGAGTCCGACTCCTCAGCGTCCGGTCCATCAACTCCATAGTTGCATTCCGACAGCTCGTCCAGATCTATCGCTATCTCTTCGAGTTCCCGGAATTTCTTCTCCATAAGGTTCTGCTCCTGCACCCAGAGGCTTTTGACGCGTGCCAAACGCTCATCGCGGACTCTGACCTTTTGCTTCTCCTTGTTCAGGCGAGCTATGGACCCCTTCGCTTCCGTCTCCAAGGCCTCGATCTTAGCATCACGACTCTTGATCTCGATAGCGTGATCCTCATAGATTCTATTGACTTCCGTCCGTTTGATTTCGTTGTAGGCTAGCCATTCATCGAACATGTCATCGGTGTTTTTGATGTAGTGGGCTTCATTCTTCAATAACATGGTCTCGAGCGTGGCATTTTGATTCCCAGTCTCCGTGGCGCTTCTCATCAGGGTATCGACAACCTGCATCGCGTCACGAAGCTCAGGCTTCGCCCCGACATAGCGTTCCTTCTCATTTTCCGTGGCCTTGTCTTTCTGGCGCTTCTTCGCCGCAGTCTCTTTCATCCTCTTCAACTCCGTGCTCATGCTACCGAGCCTGGGCTTCTTGACCGGCACGCACACGTTCCTCCCGGCCTCCTCTTCGGCTTGCCGCTTCAAGGCGGCGCCCCTCTTGAGAGCATCCAGTTCCCCCGCCATGACCTTGTGGCTGCTCGTATACGTGAGATGCAAGCCCGGGTCCGTCCACGCCGGCACTTTCTTCCCACCCCCAAGCCCCTTCCCCCTCTCCTTGCCGCACCCGCCGTACTCCGCGCCCCAGTTGTCCCTCCGCGAGGAGATCTTCCCCTGCACGTCGAAATCCCAGGGCCAGACGTGGCCGAGCTTGAGGCGGGTGATGGAGCCCCGGGACGTGCCGACCCAGAAGGCGAGGTGGCCCACTTGGTCGTCTTGCAGACGGACGTAGAAGGGTGGGAGGTTGTCTTTGGACAGTTCTTCGGAGGGTATGCAGCCCGTCCAGGGCCGGGCGTGGGATTTCGCCCGCCCGGCCAGGATGCCCTGGCCGTCCATGTTTTCGGCGCCGAGGCGGTCTGAGACGAGAGCGGTGGACATGATGGGGGAGTCGGAGGAGGGCATGTTGGCTAGGTGCTGTTGTAGGGCTGAGGAGGGGTTCGATGTGTCCATGCTGTGTGACTTGGATACGGTCTGAGGTGAGGGGAATTGAAGTGACTTTGGTGAGGGTCCAAGTGAGTGAGGTGGAGTGAGGTATGTAGTTGTAATCTTGTGCTTTGTTTGCTGAATGTCACTATTCAGAAGATGTAGATGCGTGAAGGAGCACAGTAACAGAAGGCATTGAAGATATCTTGATGGAATGTATGCTGGCAAAGATTCTTGTTGTCAATGGATAGAAGACGATGGTGGAAGAAGGGGAAATCCTGGGAGCGTAGAGGATGTAAATGATTTGTACTTAGTCCGCTCTCTTAGAAATCCACTTTTCGAGGGGTCTTTCACGAACTACTCGCTTCTTTGACTGGAGAGAGAGAGTTGTTTGCAAAACACCCAGGTCATCTTGGATCGCTCGCCGTCTGGATAATTGTAGATGTTGAATTTTGCTGGTGAAGTATGCACTTCATCCTTCTCGATTGCTAAAGAACTACACCACACTTCACCGCAAAGGGTTCCCTGGTGTCGATACTCAATTCTCAAGCTTTGCAAAACCCCTAAGAGTACCACCGAATCCAGTTTTTGATGTAAGAAAGCTATCTAAATCAGACCTAGGAGAAGAATGACATAAAGCGAGCGTTGATATCCTAGGCAATAGACTCAGGACGCCCTCCATCGAGGGAGTGACAAGATATGTGAGCCATACCCTCCAATCTGATAAGTTCTGCGGAGAACTGCCTCGCCCTACTGAGATTTCTGTCGTCGCGGTATTTGAAGTTGCTGTGACACCGGAGAAAATATCGCAGGTTTGAGAGCCAGTGGCAGACTCGCGGGTGAAAAAAAACCCTGCACACGCCAAGCAATCCTTCTACCTTTACTAACTGAAATAATACCTTCAATACCCTCTTCACAAGCTGATACTTGCCATGAGAGTTGTTCTTTGTGCTAATATCTGTATATTCCAGAGCAAAATCTTCTTGATAGGACCTTTCGTTGGCAAATTGTGTTAGATTTGCAGATTTTGAGGGTGTGCAGGCATTTTTTTCACCCGCGAGGCAGACTAAACTAGCTTGGCTTCAGTCTTCCACATGGTAATCCTTCCTCGTTGTTTGCGATATAAGGAAACTTAGGAGAATTTTGCTTGAGAGTCGCGTGGTCTAATGGTTATGATTTCTCGTTCACAAAATGAATGTTTTCCGAGAAGGTTCGGAGTTCGATCCTCCGCGCGACTATTTTGCCACTGATATTGATCTTGGTTGCCTGTTACCCTTTTTGACTTTCTGCCAACTGGTTGGACAGATCGTATTTTGGGTTCTGGAAGTTGGGGATATTTGTGGGTGCGAAGGCTAGGCTTACCGATGCTCGTATTCACTAGGATAGGATTTGCAACCTCCAAAATCTAAGTCTTATTAGTTATTATTCCACCGCATATAACTAAAAACTAGAACGAAGAATTAAGGGAACGTGAAGTATATTTATAGAATTGTTAAGAAATCTTATAATTGGGCTTAAATCAATAGAGTTTTATTAAAATACAACTGTCGACATTTATCACACAATCGTATATTCTTATCAATATCAGGAATTCTTGAGACTTTCAAAATCGCATTCTATGCTCTCCCAGATTTTTCCCCCTGTTTTCTATGATAATGTTGTGGAACTATAAATTGTAACGATCAAACTTTGTAGATCGCCAATCCTAGTGAATACGAGTGTGGGGCTGTACGCCAAGCCGATGAGCCAAGCCAATCAAAGTTATGGATGGAATGGGGAGAGATATATATATTGCATTATCAAGATCGATGTTTTATGGGATTATTCCGAGAGAGTGAGAAAATGGCAGAGCCTGCTCCCATCTTTCATCCATCCTCCAAAGCACCCACGCAGCTAATCACACCGTCATACCGCACCACCACGAAACCGACCAAAGCAACTTCAACATGGGAGGCGGCCTCCCCATCTGGCGATGCCGACCCGCCTCCACCCCAAAAACAGTCCACTTTGTGCCCATTCCCACCGCCACAGTCTTCCGTCCCGTTCACCTAAACACCAAAAGCCAGCGCGGCGCCTGGATCCAAGAAAACACGGAGTGGTCGCGGACTCTCGTTCAAACCATCCAGCAACGCCAACAACGTCGGATCGAAGTGGAGAAAGCACAGGATCGAGCAGGATACCTGCCTATCTGGCGCCAACAACCGAACGCTCAGGAGAAACATCAAGCTGACTACGAGAAAGATATGGCTGAACAGACCTCCGCCCGGGCGTGCTACGAGCGCACGTGGTCGGTTTCGTTGTTTGGGCTAATCGTGAGCGGATTGCTGTACCTGATCCTTTCCACAACCGACATCCGAGACAGCAATGGAGGTCAGCTTGGCGGCCACACGGCTTGCGATTTGATGCCGCGCCTTACGGACGGTTCGAGATTCTCCATCGTATACTGGACCGCGGTCGCTGTCGATATCGTCTCGAGGTCAGCTGCACTGATGGCGGTGGTGCATTTGGCAACACCGAGCAAAGCACTGTACGAAACCGCTGCGGCCTCTTACACGCGTTTGTACGAGTATACAAGGGTTGGGAATCACGTCGGGGCTGCGATGGCGGTCATCCCGCTTGGTTGGGATATCGTGTTGACGGTTCGGGGGCAATGTGAGGATGAGATTTGTTCGAATCTTGCTTTGGCGACGATGGCGGTCATGAATTGGACTTTGCTGGCTTCTATTGTCGGTGCTCTGTTTCTTGACAAAGGGTACAGATTCATAGTAGGCGGGCGGGAGATGGTCTCGGATATGGTCATTTTAAAGAAGAAATGGCGAGAGGGGGTGTTGGAGAGTGGCCGTGAGCTTTTGGGTCAGGGTGAGCAGGATTGGGCGTGAGGGGTACGGTTTCAACGGACGCGATATGGCAGTGTGTATATGTTATAGTTGGAAAAGTGTGTGTCTGTATTGAGATAGAGTAGACAGGATAGAATGGAGGCTACATCCAGAATTTCCGAAGACGCCCTCGCGGAGAAGCATGTCGGCCGCAGTATTCGAATACTGCACACGCTCAACTCCACACCATACCCACAAGACCTAAGTCTTATCAACAGCTCGCGTGCAGCCGCTTGTTGCTATCGTCTAGAGCATAATATCTGCTGGCCCATACCCAGCACAACAAGTTAAAACAGGGAACATTCAAACTTCACTAGTATTGTACCCGTGGTTAGGTGCGTGGGAAAATGTTTTTACGATCGAGAAGCTCAGACAAGCTAGGTCGAGCTTGGAATGTTTGCAGTCTTGGAGGAGGGGTCTCCCCAAAGAACATTTAGCACGAAAGCCCCTTCCATCCCGTCCCGATTATGTCAACATGAAGACTCCCTGCCTACAAAACTAAACACCTACTCCAGCAAAGCTAACAGGGAATGTAACAATCACAAGCCCTGCTTGGTTACTTCACTCCACAATCGCCCCATACATACCATGACTTCTGCTCAATTCTCTTGCCTTATCGTGACCAAAATGTAACGAGGCTATCAAAGTCTTCCGAGCTAGGTTGTGCGTCTGCCTGAAATCCGCTCGTGCCATGGTACGAAGCTGTAGCTGTCAGAATAGCAGTCGCTTTCTTAATCAGTCTGTCTGCCTCCTCGTCTTCCTTCAAGACCTTTAGTAGCTGGCCCTTGAGGAAGGTCGTACGGGCGATTTCTGGCTGGTATACGCCAGGATCGAGGCCCCAGATCTCAAGTGCTTGGTCAATCATCGACCTGTGCTAGATCAGCGTACTCCATAAACAGCATATTCAGTTCGCCTTACATAGCATCCTTGTAGCATTCAAATCGGATGAGATCTTCCGCCACCTTGTGACAAACATCTGCGGTACGATGGTGACTATTACCAATAGTAGAGCGGAATTGTTTGAGGGCCCATTGATGATACGTAAGACTTTCCACGAAACGTCCTTGAGCAGCTCGAAGATTCCCGTAAGCGTAGAGTACTCGACCCGTTCTGCGTTCAATTCAGCCACGTTGAAGCTGATGAGAGTGCCTTTACCGAAAGGAAACACTGTCCATCTTGCCAAAAGACTTTTCCTGCATGGATAGAGCGAAGCTCAGAGTCTCCTCCGCAGCGTCGTACTTACCTTGGAATATGTGGACAAGTCCTAAATTTGCATAAGCAAGTGCGCTGAATAATCCTAGACGAGCCTTGATGTCCCCCCCTCGCCACAACATTTGGATCGCGTTGTCATACTCTCGATCCTGTATCAAAGCGATTGCTAGCTCGACATAGCATCGAGAAAGGCGGGAATCTTCGGTCTTAGTACCGTCGAGGTATTTTAGCTGAAGATCTAGCGCCTGTGATTTGAGCTTTCTGCTGGAGGGGTGGGCGTTGGTTTCCGCTGCAATAGCAGCGATACCGAGACACATGTCGACCATCAGAGGTTCCTTGTCTGGATCATCGCTTCTGTCACAGATCTTGACAGCTGCACCGTAGAGATCATCAAATTTGCATGCATATCCACGCTCGAATCGCCACCTATCCGAACATTAGCGTACTGTGTAGACTAAGATCATTCGGGATTAAGACCATGCTGCGTCAGCGAGAAGCCCTGCCCATTGTTGTCGACTCGTCTTTGAACCTGTTCTCCCACGTCTCCTTTAGTTGTAAAACGTGGTGGTACAACATTTCACGTTTGGGCCATTCGCAAACGGAATGCGTCTTTGGCGGTGTGCTCTGTATCGTTTTCTGGGAGGGGGCTTCTCTTGCTGACGGCCATTGTATTGCGAGATTACAGACGGTATTCCAGAAGACTTTTGCAGTGTCTTCGGCACTCAGTTGTGCTTTGACTGCAGTTTGGACCAGGGAATTGACGGTTATCGTGTTGTCCTCTTCATTGTGCTCAATGAGGGATGCCTGGAGGAGCGTTGTACGGGCTGATTTGTACTCGCTTGACTCTCCGAGAAGATCTTGAGCTGGGAGAGGCAGTACCCACTCTTCGAAAATCACTTCTTCGATACAGCTGGGTTCTAAGAATGCCAAAATCCTCAACAGGCTTTCACACCGCCAGAGAGGTGACATTGTATCTCAGTACGTGCCTGCCGACTCTGGGCAGGTTTCCTCTCCCACCAGGGCTGATAGTGGAAAACCTGGCTCGCTGTTAAGATCAGGGTTTGAGATGGGCTTGATTGTCCTCTGTAGCCTGGTGTGGTATCGTGTGAAGTTGTGGAGAGTTGGGAAGTTGGGAACTGGAGAGTGGGAAATTGGGAGTCGTGGCGACGGAAATGAAAAGACTCGGTTCCGAGCGCAAATTGCATGAAGCAGGAGCCCAGAGTCTTCCGCCTAACTTCTTTAGGCTTTCAAGTTTCTCTCAAATTCCCCAACATGGGTGTGCAGTGAGCGTGGCTCTGAGTTCTGTGATATTGTTGGGATTTGTATGGAGTTACGAAGTTTGGGAGTGGGAAGTGGTGGCGATGATCTGTGTCACTCGACACGGAAGGGGTCAGACCCACTTCTGATCGAGCTCCCCCATTTGACGAAGACAATGCAGCACATACCTAGGTCTAATTTCTCGCTGCAACAAAACCCAGGACCTTTTTCCTTTCTCCTTTTCATTGGCATCTATTGCATTGAGGACCACTCATGCCCAGCATTAATACAGAGCTCTGGAGGCAGCATACTACCACCCACAACTAAGGGAACCTCAACGATTCTGACAACGCTGAGCCTCGTGTAAATCAGGCACCAGCTCTTACAGCGGGTACTTACCCCTAAGCCAGCGTGGGAAAGAGAAGTTAAGGTGTCATGGTGACGCTAGATTTCACGAACGGGCATGGATGTACAGGCATTCCATGCTGTTGTCACCAACTGAAAAGGCCAATCTACTAGGCCGTGCCGATATGCTGATGGTCCTCGTCTTGTTGCTGGGCTATTTATATTACAGCGTAAACTCCAGCTCATATTTCTTGCGACTTTAGAGAGCCTGGCTGCCCTTGCTTTCGACGGCCAAACATACAGAATCCCCGTCATCCTCGACCTCGCCGACGTGCCAGCTTTCGCGCTCATTCAGAGCTCGAAAGAAGACCTTTCCAGATAGTTGAAGCCGACCTTGAGGGTGCTTAAGGGCTGTTTGCGCTGTTCACAGAAGAGCGGACCTCGGTTCATATCGGCTGAGTCATTTGAAGAAAAATAGGTGTGATATGCGCGATGGTAGACCTCGTAAACCTGGGGTCAGAACTTACTTGTGATTCGAAGGGAACCTTGATAAAGATGTACACAGTGAAAAACAACTCAGCCAGGACCAAGATATATAAATGGCGAATTACCTGGAGGCTACTGTGCAGCCATGCGCGTTCTAATATGTTGGTAATATTCGCGGCTTTGCAGAAGAGGTTTTGATTGAGCTTAGCGTATGCAAAATCGGTTGCGTTGCTTAGCGTTGGGGATATTCCGCGCATGACACCCAAATTTGTACTGTAGCACATGTATCAAACACTTCAAATCGTCGAACTTGAGACTACACAAATTAGTCTGAACAGTACGAGTGCTACAGTGTAGCTCAGTGGCAAACGCAGAAGGCCTCCAATAAGAATTAAGACGATACTCGTTTGGCTTAAGTAGCAGTACCGATGATAAGAGATGTAACGGGTAAGAGGCCAAGTAACCTGTTGAAACTTCAGTTTGGCTTTATTTTCATCAAAGAAGACTTTTTTCGACAATAGCAGCGATATTGGTTGAGGATATTGAAGAAACGTCTAATCTCCAGTGCCAAGCAGCGCAACCAATTTTGCATACGCTAAATATCCCTGCTAAACGTTGTCCTGCATGCTTGTGTGGCGTCTATCAAGCTCAATCATTGCCTGGTGGTGGCTCCTGTTTAACAGCCTTTGGGGAATCTCGAAACGTTCCCCTATGTGCTCTACTGTCTGCTTGATTTCTGTCTCTTTGGGGTACTGCTACTTTATGAACCTCCCTACGCGTGAGGCATTGATCATCAGCCGGATCATGTATTAAATCGATGCACCAGGAAAGAGAACGAATTGAAGGTACTTCGCTATTTGGCAGAAGATCAGACCCAAGCCGATAGCGAAGAAAGAGATTTCGTCATGAAGCTCCTGGACAATTTTGTTGTCTGACTATGAGGGTCCAACGGAGACCATCGATGCTATGTGACCAGGGTTGCAGGGCGACTTTTGGATCGTCCAGACGACGTCAATGCTAAAGAGTGGGCACCAGTCATCTCTTTGTAGCTTTCGAGGCTCTCAGATACCTCAATGCTTGCGTGATCGCTCACGGATGTCTATGGACTCAGACCGCTTGTCAAATCTCACTAGCCACTAACAGTGATGAAGGTCTTTGCACTTCCAACAGTCTTACACACTTGGCCAACTTCGATGCTTGGTTGCGAAAGCTTGCATAAGTGCCTTGGGTAGTCTAGCAAGAACAAGGTCCATGGTCTTGACATGGGAGCCTTGACGGACACAGTGCCCATGTACTGTGTCAGAAGGCCCGATCTCTCCACTTTCGGAAGCGGTGGTTTATCAACAAATTTTAGTCCTCGATTTCTGTCAAGACTTTCACCTTGGGATGTCACCATCAAGCATGAGGATACCGGCTTAATTCTCAGCGCCAGAGGTACTCTACAGGAATCGAATCACTTCCACCAGTAATAAATGGGCGCTGAGCTGCACCATACTCGGCGCTTTTTCCGGGTAGGATGAATCTTAACACAAAAACCGATGTCCTCAAAGACATGGTGGCAATGCTCTGGAAGCCCCCTGCGGACAAGTGGCTGGCCTGGCAGGACCGCGAGGTTCAATCTGAGGCCGACGGTACGCGGAAACGTGCAACTGGACAAAATTCTCCCATCTATTATTAGTCCCTTTCATTACGAGCATGTGACATCCGGCGCGGGTCAAGCGGCCTCCACATTCCGAGATTCCTCCTGGTACTTAAATCTCCAATGAGGAACCAATGACAAAGTGACTTGTTTGTCTACAAAATCCTGCAGAATCTCATGAAGTATGTTCCAGCGGTACGTATGACCCCTGATCTAGCTCTTGTCCACCCCTTCTTTGAGCACCCTCGGCTCTGTGATCGTTGCTAGAGATACGCATTCAGATGGTCTCTGAAAAGTTATGTAGATGCTGTCATTTCAAAGCTTAATCGGCAGCGGTTTTAAATAATACATTAAGCTACAATATGCTTTGCAATGAAATCTGCCCACGTTACGATCACACCAAGCAGTCCTTAAAGACCCCGGCGCAAAGACCGGTCGGGTCCAGTGCTCTCACCTGACTAGACTCGCTTAAGATAGCACAATTTTACATCGCCTCGATCTTTTCCACCTAACAGTCTTTGCATCTTGAGGCCTGACGTCAAAGCCCTCAAAGAACAGTAATCGAATCTCTCGGTCAAATTGTTGGACGCTACAGTATTCGGCCGCTCTTAGGGGTTACATTATGCCTGAAAATCCAGAAACTCCCAAAATAAAGGCGGCATCTGATACCGTCGAAGATATTGCAGTGGAACTGATTCATTTGGTGCGCACCGATTTGCACGAAAGAGAGAAACCCTACAAACTCCAGTACGATCCAGGGAATGGGATTCCACGCTCAAATTGCACAAATCAGATATACGATTCCATCATCGTCCGAGATTTGCGTGCCTGCAGAGAGTCCCTCTCCTTCGATGTGAATGGGTTTACGGTCCTAGACATGGAGTCTAAATTGAAGCCCAGCGATTTTTATGACGAAGCCCGCGTCAAAGATGTGTACTACATGGAACTCAAAGACCTTCTTTGCCAATTCTTTGATTCTTCACGGGTCGAGATCCTAGAGCACTCGGTACGCCATCCGAAGCGTTTCACATTGATGCTAGCAGTGATGGCTCATGATTCAAAGATCCGGAAACGCCACCCCCAATTTCCAGTCTCGACAGGCGAGGACTACGAGTTCCTTCAGCCAACTTCGGTGGTGCACACAGGTAAGCTTGTCGTCTAAAGCCAGTACGCAGTACGAACTAGGGTAGACTTCACAGAAAATTCGGCTCTAGAAGCCAGTAGGGATGTCCTCAAAGTGGACAACGAGGCCTACTCCCGCATCATGTGCGTCAAGTATGTCTCGAGCACGGGCAAACATCTGGGACTCTTGCTGATCAGCGGCAGTGTGTGGAAACCCTTGCATGGCCCCGTCATAGACTGGCCCTTGGGCCTTTGCGATGTCAAGTCGGTCAACAAGGAAAGAGACTTTGTTGCTTCAGATGTGGTCTCTCGAACAGGATACACCGAGAACTATCTGGTCTACTACAATCCTGAACACCGCTGGTACTATTTGAGCAACCAGACAGCATCTGAATTGGTGCTCTTCGGCCAAACAGATAATCAGTCAGATTACTTCATCGGTAAGCGCAATGCAGATTCATTCGTGCTGCGCTTCTTGTGATGACATATATCCAGGCGTACCCCACGCCGGGTTCGAAGCCCCGCATTCCGCTTCTCAGGCGAAGCCGAGAGAAAGCATCGAAGCGAGAGCATTCATCTACTACGAATGATAGGAGTCACGTTTGCATGACGGACGTTTTCTGACTCGATCCTTCAATCAGGGGTAATCATAAAGATGTTCGTAACGAAGCACTCAGTTGTCCCCTGGTCAGCATGAGAGATTATCAGGATACTGGAGTCCAGAAAGAGTGTATAGAATTAATGAACCACGTCAGAAGATGGTATTGACATCGATTCCCTCAATAACCGCATACTCTATCCCCAGCCCGGCATTACATGTATATAGACTCAATATGGTATCCCGGCTCCACATCTCAGCATCCATATCCATAGTCTCATCCAAGCACATCCCAGCGCCTTCCATGAAATCGACGCGGAAGCTTCGCTCAGTCGACCCTTGGGTACTCAGCGGCCGCCCCGCTGCTTCCGTCCGACATCATCACAGACCCTCTCTCGAAGCCATGAGCCTCTCCGACTTCAACCGCGGACCGAGGAGGCCAGTTGAGCTTCCACGGCTGAGCTTTGCGGTCGGCCGGCTCGCGAGGCTGGGTTTCGGTATCGCGCTGGGCTGGGACACTGTCCGAGTTCGAAGCGTTGGGGACCGACATGGTACGCTCGAGTGACTGGAGGCGGTCAGTTTTCGGTCTCTTCAAAGCACAAACAGCATTATACTTCGTAGTTGCTTCGATATCTTTTGGGTGGTGAACAGGCTTCGTGGGAAAGTTCCGTAGTCTGTCAAACAAGAGTGGGCATTGCGTTCCATAAAAGGGTGGGTGTGGGGGGAGGAATAGGGTCTGATCAGCATAACACATTCCGCAAAGAAGCTGCGAAGCAGTTGGTGCCACGCTTCAGGAGACGCATTGAAGGTGCAGCGTATTGTTCTGTACAGTCGCATTGCATACGCTATGCATGCCAATGTTTCACATGTCGAGTCAGAAGCAGAAGCAAGCCCGAGGTGCAGGAGTTGGATCCCTATATGGTAGGATGTATCCGCGCTGTTACAATGGACAGGGTATCTCAGAGGCTACCGAGCCGGCAGGTCACTATCCACAAACAAGACATCCAGACTTAGACGGCTTGAGCTGATCGAAGCCGCCAATCAGCCATGACAACCACCCGACCCATCCAGACCCTTTATGCATTGCACCCGATCCATCTCCTCCGGCCTGATAAGGAGTGCAGCAACTACCAAAGCTCAAGGACAGGCTCGCATCAGACGTGAAGAGAAGGTTCTCAGCCCTACCAATCGTATCATCACCCCCACTCACTGCGCTCATTCGAGCAGAGGCGGCTTCGCTGCGCGACGGGGCGGGTTTTCAACTCTTTCCAAGATCGCTGCCTCTCGACCCCGGGCCCGGAGCAGGGTTTTGGGGTGACCCCGTTGGCTTAAATGACTTGCGCAACAACGCGCGTTTGCCAGTCTCAACCATGACTTTAGGCTTTATGGTCTTCCAAAAGTGAAAGAGGCAGGGCGTAGCCGCGCGTCCCTACGCAGATTTTGGAGTTAGTGTGGTTTTTTTTTGGATAATAGGGAGGTTCAGTAACATTTCAGACCAAGGTTATAAACAATAAGTACAGGATTGCAATGGGAACGTCAATTGTTACCACTGTTCAGAAGAAATAGACCCTAAGTTATCTGAACAAGGTCCTCGTGCTGTTGTCCTGGGAGATGAGGGGTCAGGAGTCTTGCCTTGGCGTCTTCAATCATGTGCTTCAATATATGCAGCTAGAAAAATGCCATACTCCTGGAAGACTTTGGTCATCGCACGCTCATCAAACACACTTTTTGTGCGAGCCGCGTTCATCTGATAACCAACCAAGGACATGAGAAAAGAAAAAGAAAACAAGTCCGTATTAAAACTTTGTCGTCGAAGATTCTCCCGTACGTACTGTTTTTGGGAAGATATCGCTCAAAGTTGTTTTGATGATCTGTCCGGAGATTAAAGTCTACACGCCTTCATTTTTGATGAGACTCGACCAGTAGCTCGCATGCAGCCACTTGATGCTACTGTATGAGTTCTCGTGGACGAGAATAATCTCTGTTGGCCCAAACCCAGCCATAGAGGCGCTCTTTGAAACCAAAGACAACTGTGAAGCTCACGACGAAGAGGGTAATACTTCCACAAACGGCCCAGAAGTAGCCTTGCGTCTTGTCCGTATTGGCGATCCCTTGAAGATTCATCCCGAAGTACGACTTTAGGATTTCGGAGTCAGCATGAATTCCTCGAGACGACTTTGATGTACAAGACATGGTTGGAGAGTTAGATCTTCTCGAAGCATGCCTTACAGTCCACATCTCGAGACAGATCAGGAGGAACTCAATCCAAAAAGTAGACTCACTGTGAAGAAAGATAGAGGTAAAAAGATGATAGTCACGACGGTGAAGACGAGGATGGCTTTGTTGTTCGACTCTGCGATGATAGCAAGTTCATTTTGTTCGATTGTCCGTAATTGAAAAAGCTGTACAAAAAAATCAGGAGACAGTTTGTATGTATGGACTTGGTAGTAGTGGTAGAGTTACCACGTCTAATGAGGTTTTCAAGTCGTTGATAAGTCGAGGGAGATTCTCGTTGTCTTTCTCTATCTGTTTTACAGCCTCATCGACCCGCTGAACCAGGAGACTTTTTTCGTTGATGGATCCTAAAATGTGGTGGAGTCGTGCCAATTTAAGAGACTTGCAGTGTTCTCGAAGCTTCCCGAGGAATTCGATTTTCTGCATTGAGATCTCATGAATTTGAGAGATCTCGTCCATGCAAGAAACATATTCACGGACCAGGTTCACAGATTCGTGCCGTCTGAACCGAGAAGCTCGACGATGTTTCTAGCCCCAATGAGCAACGACTCTTACTGGTTGGTTCTTACTTACCAGATCTCGCACGATGGGAAGATATGCGTTTTGTATATCGGGGACATTCTTCCATAAACGATGGTTATGGGGTGCGACCTCCAACTCGATGACCAGTAACACCATAAGCCAATGCACCGACTTGATTTCCCACGAGGCTGTTCCATCAAGCTCCCATCGTCGCCGAATGTTTTCCAGAGCAGAGTGATCTTGGTGCACGGTTTCAGCATGGGACGGCACCTCAACATATCTCGCGAAATATCGGTCCAGGTAGTTAAGGCCTACATTAGGCGACGTTGTGAGAAGAAAACCTAGCAACATCAGAACAGAACTACGGCAAAGATTCACTGGATTCTGTGACAACCATCATCTCGTGGAAAGCATCGGAAATAGTCTCGCACAAGAACTGCATTGCTGTAGAGAGGGTGCCGAGACAACATTTGCTGGCCTATTTCTGGTGCCAGCGAACCTTTTGTGACTTCAATTTTGGAGAAGTTGCTGCGGATACCTTCATCAAGCTGCCACGGCAAGTCTGACCGGACATCGTTCCAGAATCCGCGCTTGATCCCGAGGGTATCTGCTCTCCACTGTAAGTTGCGCCCAAAAGGGCCGTTCTCATGGTACTTGAAAGTGAGCTCGTCAAGCTCAGAACTGAGATGAGGAGACTCGTGGAGAATGTTGAATACGTCAGATTGATCCTGTAGCTTTTGCCGGCCTCTGAAATTCAAGATTTCGAAGCCATTGTACGGACCTTCTTTGACCTCACCGTGACTGAAGAGATCCTCGAGGCTCTGGGAATGGGGCAAGAGTTAGTTCAGACATCCAATACGGTAGTTCAGAGGTGGGATGAACTATCGTAGATGAAACATCCTCTCACCGATTCCACTTAGCCTGAGCCTACTGGTACATGTCTTCGAACGTCAGTCGCGTCGAGCACTTTGGATTGGGGAAACAGACATCCACCTGACAGTCGCCCACGTTGGTTTGTCCTCCCAGTCTAGTACGATATCCAAGCGTTAGATCATCACACCAAGACCAAAATCGAGACTTACATTGCTGTAAATATTCAAGATGAACTTCGAATCGCTCAAAGTGACCTTCGCCAAAATCGCATACAGTCGCTTTGAGTGACCAACGAGGCGGGAAGAAGTATGTGGCGAGCGAGAAGAGCTGACAAGGGGCCGGGCAGATTGGCCGCTTTGGGAACCCAGCCTTGCTCATTAGGAATTTACTCAAAGACTTAAAACAAATCAGTGTCCCATTTATGCCATGCTTTAAGCTTCCTAAGCACAGCACGCTGAGAGTTCAGTAGAGCATTCCATTCAATTTCACGTTTGGAAGGAGGGAGAGCATGTGTTGAATCGGGTCGCGTGAGACGTTCCGGGTCCACCGAACCACTGGCTGCACGAGCAAAAGATCTCGAAGGCTCGCCTGTGACAACGCTCTCCAGAGGGACTATGTCCTCGTGGTTAGGGTTCCGGCAAGGCGCGCTAACGGACGTCTTTGAGCTCGCCATACATCATAATCAGAGCGTAATCAAGTATTAAGTAAGTCGCGACCTATCAAGATTACTTGTTCCAAAACTTGTTCACAAGCGATAGATCGTAAGTTCGACAGAGGTCGAGAGAAACTGAAGGCGCTTGTCAGCCGTGTCGATGCAAGGCTGAGGCGTTATCTAAGGTAGTTAGGCAGCTGCTTGCACCATGTAAGAAAAATCCATCCCTATCAGCCTCTCGCGATTGCACAAAATGGCATGTGCAAAAACACCTTCGCCAATCTCAAACATGGATTCAGGCTTGATGGTCTTCAAAAGTGAAGGGATAATTCGCGTTGTTTGTAGATTTGATAGAGCAGGCTTCGACCAAGCTAACTACTTTTGGTGTACGCCGCAGATTTCGGAGTCAGTGTGGTTCTCATTGGGTAATAGACCGAGAAATGAGACTTATATAAAGAGCAGAAATAATCTTCCGCAGCCGATTCACCTAAGTAACAAGACAGTTCTGCAGAATTGAAGGAGCTTTCTGCTTCCGGAATCTGGATCGTGGCTCCAATTTGCTACCAAACAGGAATGATATACGCCGAAAAGTACGTAAACTCACCTCTTTTATCGAATGATGGCTATTGTGGGAATTGAGAGCCCAGGTTGGGGCTTACACCTTCCGAACACCTCAGCATCTGGAGAGTACAGCCATAACGAAGCCACCACACAATCTATGGTCACTTCAAGTCCTGTCTCCAATAAAGCTCACTTCACCATCCAGTATTCTTTCCCATATCCACTAATTGCGTTCCCTGACAGTATTTACGCAATCTGCATTGCAAATCCCATCTCTTTCATCGGCTTGAACTAGCGCAAGCAAACCAATGGTTGGACTGTTATCTCGAACGGGATTGAAACAAATATCTCGCGTTCAGTGGATACACAGAGAATCTGTCAGTGCATCGTGAATGGATGCGCAGAATCAGTACCGTCTCCTACGTTAATGACTTCTCCAGGAGGGTTTGAAGAGTGGGTACATTACTTTGCATGGAAGATATGAGGAGAAGACGGGAGGCGGAGGCGATCGGGTTGAGACTCGATATTCAACGCCACAGAAACATTTTTCACACAGCGATCGATCGTCCACTATGACTCACACAGAGCGACTGACTGGCACGCTCTGAACCCAACCGCGTGGTCCAGAAGAGTGCAGAAGGCAACCTCAAAAGGTCGCACAAACAACTGCCGGCATTCCAAACGGCAGGGACTGTATGCGCCTTGGCGAACGGGTTGGCGGGCTGTGCGTACAGTGGGGTGGACCTGGACCTGGACCCGGGGTTGGGTTTCCGGCAACGACGGTCCTGTGCGAGGAGGAGTCGGAGGCTGCGTTGTTGTGTTTGGGGGATAAGAGGGGGTATGATTGCGTTGAGGTTGCGGTGGATCTTGCGTGATGGAATGTGGATTGGGGGGCGGTTGGGAGATTGGAGGGAAGGGATGGGATGGATGAGATTGGACTAGGGGCAATGCAGCTCGCTTCATCGTTCCGAGTCGTCGTTGCGATGGGTCAAGCAAGCGAGCACGTAGAGATGGAGATAGATGTCTGGCGGAATACAAGCATATCGGCTCGGGCAGCGGGGAAGATGGCACAGAATGTCGGCCACGCAAGAATAATTGAGACGTCGTGGAGTGAGAAAGACTGGCTGCGATTGTACCACATTGTTGACGGAAACGCCATCAAGTATCGACCGTGCACCGTTCGTTCCCCTGACCCTCCGAATTACCTGCAAATATTACCACTACTTCCCCGCTACCGCCAGAACCCCAGACACAACCCACTCCCTTGCACCACCCAGTTTAAACCAAAACACCACAGCCCTATCTACCGTCCACTCAGCCACAGCATCACGCCACTCCGTCCGTATCCGCAATAGCACTCGATCCCGTCGCCAAACACCACCTCATCTTCCGGCCCCTCTGTCCCCTCCACCGTAGCGGAACTCCGGGCGGCCGATCTTCGCGCGGCCGCCGTGTTGCTGCTCGGGCGGGGTTCGCGCGAGGATCGGTTTCTTGCCCTTGGCGACACCGGTCGCGCCACCGCTAGGGGCACCGGTCGCGGCGGCGGGTTTCATCGTGGCGGGTCTAGGGGTGCGCTTGACCGGCGGCGGGGGTTCGATGGCGAGGACGTCCGGGGCGGTGGGTACGGCTGTGGACGCTGCGTTGACGTCGTCGGCGGTGGTGGTGTTGTTGTTGTTTTGCGTCTTGGCGGGTTTGGGTTTGGTCGTGGGCTTGCGTTTTTCGACCAAGGGATTCTTGGCGACGCCGGTGATGGCGTTTGCGATTTTGGTCACTTCGGTGGAGAGTTTTGGCTTCGAGGGGGGTTTGGAGACGTCGGTGGCGTTGCGTCTTTTGGTCATCGGGAGGTGTCCATGGGTTGGATGGTGGGTAGAGGTTTGGGGAGTGGAAGGTCTGTGAGTGGGAATCGCGAGGGAAGGTAAGAAGATGACAGGGTTTGTAGCAGATGTCTTTTGTTGGATTCTTGTGCGTGCGTGTTGCCAAGTGCTGTATTCGGAGAGTCCATGTCTTTGTTGGTGGCCATCGAGTGACCCGCAAAGATCTCACAACTTCATTCTAGCACTGTAACGTGCTTTGTTCTCGGTCCGTATCCAGCGGAGTTGAAGGATCTTCCCAAATCAGATGGCTCTATTTCCAGAGCGCATCCAGCGTAGACGAGATAGTCTTCAATAAAGGAACAGGGAAAGATACCTCCTAACATTTACAGCGAATTACCATATCTTCGATTCAACAATTGCCGAAATGTCAGAAAGACAGATCGAACCCCCTTCGTACATCCTTCTTCATCATCTTCCCCAACCAACAGACCTCTTGCCTCCGCACTCCCGTCTCATACAAGCAAAACAATCCACAGACACGACCTTGAACAGACACCTAAACACACACAAATGTTTCCAAACAATATACACAAGCGATAATTAAAATCGTCGAAAACCCTCATGAATACAGGAAATCAGCAACGCATCCTCATCAACAATGCAAGCCTACGGTTCCCCGATCCGATCAAGCAAGCTACCCCAACAACCTCGTAAAATAAATTAATGCCTCGATCACCCAGCTTAATAATTCGTTCCTGGCAACGATGAAAAGGTCCTCGAAGTAAAGAAGAACGTATCTGCAAACACAACGACAACATCCGCAGGCATTTTCGAACTACCAAACCAAACCATACCAGCTCCCCAGGCCTCGCAAATATCGACCGAAAAACACGCGACCAGTGCATGCTGTTGACATATCTACACGACCACGCACCGAAAACCCCAGCCCAAGCCCAAGCCCCCCTCACCGTTCGTATCCCCCCCGCGTTGCCGGCGCGCCCATCCATCCATCCATCCATCCATCCATTCATCGAACGGACCCCAACGAACGATCCCGATGCCTGAATATCCAGGCTCTCGGAGCACACACACACACACACGCACACTAGTCCGCCACGGCACCGAGGGTTTCGGACCAACGTTGCTGCGCCGCGAGCGGGAAGCTGGAGATTGGGTGGTAAGGGCGTGGATGTACGGGGAGGAGATGGGGGAGCGTGGCGAGGTTTTGGGGGTTGCGACGGCAGAAGGGGTCAGGGTGGGTGGTTTAGGTGACGGGATCAGTTGCGAAGTGCGAGGTTGGGGAGACGGGGGTGGAAGAAGTGGATAGTGTGGATCAGAGCCGTAGTGTTTTGTGGATTAAGTAGATCTTGACGAAAGAATTTCGCATGTATCTGCTTCAGGTGCGCCGCCAGAGTAGTGATTATCAATGGGTATATTCGTTTTTCGCAAAGTAATCCCCAGTGTAAAAGACTCCCCAACCGCATGCAAATGCAAAGGCTTGCAACCCGCACTCAGATCTCAGACTCCGTCCATCTATTCCTCCGTTTATCCTTTTTGCCGAGATGCAGCTTAGTTATTCTGTCATCTCGCCACTATCACCGCCTGTTTCCCATCATTTCCATAGCGCCTTCATCATATCGGTCCAGCCCCGAAACAGCCATTCATCTCCATGTCGGCCGCATCGAGTGACCGTGCCTGACTGTCTCTTCCTTGTCTTCTCCTTCTTTGTTCGAGCGCGAGATGTAGATCTCGAAGATGCTTGCGATGTACTCTTTTGGGAGTTGGAAGAGCAGAAGGAGTAACGTGAGAGGGAGGCAGACCAGAGGGAGTCATCTGTCGAGCTGTGGCTTGATGCAGGGCTGGTATTTGTTGTAGGAGATGTGGGTGAGGATGTGGAGCGGAGGAAAGGTGGCCGAGAGGAGATTGAAGGAGAGTTAGGCGAAGTGCTGGTGCGAACCGGTGCGAACCGTGGGCTCAATGGTGTGGAGGAAGACGATGTCGAGATCGGCGAGTCTGAGGGCGAGGTAGTGGAGGAAGCGGGGAGGTTGGTGGTTCTGAGGCTGGTGGGGTTGCTGGGTCGAGGAGAGTGAGTTCGCATTGTGGTCGCTGGAGGCAGTAGTATGGCGTAGTTGGCGGCTGAGGAAAGAGTGGTATGTAGGCTCGTTTAGGTCTGCGATTTGGTCGTCTGTGGGATTTGGCGGGAGATTTCGGCGGTGCGGTCAGTGAAGGCGACGAGGTGTAGATGTGGACGCAGTTTTTGAGGGAGTAGAAATTGTTCAACGGGTCACAACCGCATTGAAACATTTGCTGGAGTGGTGTGGGTGGTAATTAAAATAAGAAACAATTGCAGGTCCGATGGGTGAGATTGATGAGTGATCCTTGTGCCTGAATATGCAGAGCAAGCGAATCAGGAACGGGAGTACATGCGACTTTATATCTCCCTAGCCAAAGATCCGGGTACCAGCAAAGCGCATTCATGTCCAGGTAGATACCTCCAACTTATCAGTAACGGCTGTCAACACACAGCGCGGAGTCTATTCATCCTTCATGTAACCATGTCAGCACACAACCTAGCAACGTTACTGTTGAAACAGCGGCCGCATCGGCTGCCAACTGGCAAGTGAGAGACCACTGGGGAATTTTGTCGTATATGTTGTATGCCGTGAGGCCTCTAGAGCGGATACGAGTACTACCTCTCGGACTGATAATTGGGTGGCCTGATGTTCTCGACTGCCAAGCTAGGGACGGTGTCAGCGGTGTGGATGGGGCCGAATTGTATGCGTTGGCCACAAGAGAACACGGGAATCCTCCCCTGGTGCCCCCATGCATCAGAGTAGTCTTAGGATTACAGCATCTTGTAAGCTGATGTAGTATTGTGTCAGGTCCACTATTATTGCTGGAGCCTCTGGACATGCAAGAGTCCGAGACAATAATCATTGCAGAAGGAAGTGCACATGTTTCATGCGTCGGCGACTAATAAGAAGTGAGGACGAATGAACAATAGGAAAGATCAGCTCGTAAGGTACTTTAAAGTACTGGCGGTGGAAACACGTAGGCTGCCCCGCTAACAGGGATCCCCGGGCGCTATCGGACGCGAGTGTAAATGCTAAGGGTAAGGCTAAGGTACCTACACGGCTAGCAGCTGCCCAGCGGTTTCATGTTTCACACGTGCACTCCAACTCTCCATTTCGGTAAATAATCGCTACAAAGAGTAATTTCCTCAGAGTCATGCCAGGTACCTACATGGGAACACACCCTTGTAAATGTAACATTGGCGGCCATGACCGTTCCTTCGCATTTAAAAAGCGGAAACATATTCACCGCCTCTGGCATGAGCTGGGAGACTGGTGATGTACCAGTGAGTGGGTTGATTCGATGACTATGGACAAAAGAAACGAGTCGGTTGACAAGCTGCAAGCCTTGATAACGTGCGTGGTCTTTGCTAACCCGATGAATGCAATGGTTGCAGTGGTCAGTTACGCGGCCCCTCCACAACCACCAGCTCCACCCAGACCTTGGCAAAACCCTCATTGCCCAGCGTGATCTCCTCACGAAACAAGTCATCTTCTCGATTCAAGGCTCGTACTTTCTTGCCCAAATCGCTCTTCGCCTCCGCCTTCTTCAGTAAATCATACTCGCTATTACCCCAATTGCCTGTCAGAGTCTCCAGATACTCGGCTGACGCCCGTTGATTTGCCTGATTCAGGAGGGTGAATACCCCATGTGTAAGCGATTGACAGTGGCTTGGAACCGTATTTGTCTTATCAGGGGGGTTAGGTAGCCATTGCAACTCGTGCACAATGTAGACTCGCGGAGCTAAGATGAAGGCGGATTTCGGAATGGCAGCCTGTTGATTGGGCGGCGCAAGCTCTGGAAATCCCTCGAATCAGCTGTCGTTCCTGGGGAACGGTCCGAAGAAAATGGCACTTACCGCGGTGCACAACCACCTCAATGTTAACCTCTAGGACTGTAGCCATGTGCGTCTGCATACCATGCTCGTCCTGTTTGTAGAAATATGACCATCCCTTGGACTGAACACCCTCGAATCCATCAATCTGCGGGGATTGGACTTCCGCTTTGGCGATGGCGTTGGCTTCGTTCAAAGTGTAATAAGGCCCCATGCTCGATTCAACAGCGTCCTCTTCGGTCTCTAGCCACTCGCGCTTCCGAACGAAGTATTGGTAAGCAATGTTAGGGACTTCGGTCTCTTCGTCTTGAGCTTCGTCTGCCCTCTGATCCACTACCATGTCAACATCCCAGTTCCCAGCCTCCCGAAACCTCTTTAGTGTTTCTGCAGACAGGCCTTTACCGCCAGTCTCACGATGCTCGACAAGCGACGTTCGACAATCAAGCTTAGATTCGTTAGCGGAAGATAACGCTTGTTCCTCCGTTATCGATTGCTTCTCTGGCAAACGTGAAAGGCTAGATGTCTGGATTTTTAAGGCTGGCGATAGAACGATCATACTAAGCTTCCCCACTGCTCCAAGACTAGGATGATCGTTCCATTTCAAGCTCCTTGGGTTACCATGTTTGTTAATGCATTTCTCAAAGTGATAATTGACTCCCTGTGGTGTGGTAAACTGAGAATCACACCTTGGGCAATGGAAAGCGCCACGATTAGATCTTTTGGCCGGAGGTTTCTTCTCGGGCGAAAAGATTCCGCAAACGTTTGTCGGGCCACCAATCCGAGGTTTACTGTGTCTAAGCTTATGGCGTACGAAGGTGTTGTCTCTTGAATCAGCGGCACGGATGCCTTCACTATACTCATGGGCGTCGCTATTCTGGGTGATAGTCTGTCTCGTACGCGTTGCGGAAGTGTTCTTGTAGCCATCACCTCGATCCTCTTGACGCTGCGCTGTGAGGACATCCTCATCAAGTGATTTATGCACGCATGGAGGGCTGGCAAGCTCAACATTTTCTCCAATAATCTTGTTACTTTCATGGCCATACGCGGGGTGGAAATCCATTGCAGTTTGCGCGTTTCCAGCCTCCGTATCACACTTTTCCTGGCATTGTCGACGCTTCTTGGCCATACGCGCTAGCTTTTCCAAGGGCGACTCGATCTGCGTAGGTGAGATAAGCTCATTGTAACCCAATTCACCGATGGTTCGCTTGCGCTTGGAGCTCAGTACACTCATGTCAAACTGTGGCGCATCGCGATCCCTCTTCGTCGTGTTTTGAGTGCGTTCCTCGTTGAATAGTGTAATAGAAGGATTTCTGCTGACTGCTTTTTGTTGCATTACGGGAGCAGTGTTGGCTGTACGATAAGAATCTTGGCCTCTGTACCAAGCCTTGAAGCCTATGCCACGATTTTCTGGCAATGGTTGCACACTTGACGCCAGGAAATCATCCTTAGTAAGAGCACGAAATAAAGGGTGCGTGACCCCTTCGGTGTACCTCGCAGGATACGGTCCCTGAGTTTTGTCCTCGGGATTGTGGCTCTTAGCCACTGACTGGAAGCCTAAGACCTGAGTTCCTGCCACTGCTTGTTGGGTTGTATCGGCGTAGTTCCCCTTGATAGCAGCTTTGTTGTCGCTGCCATTTTCAAGATCAATGTAACCGATTTCCGCAGCATCTGGCTCATCATCATCTAGAACCGTGATGGGATCACAGGCTTTAGAGCCCGAGTATTCCTTCGGTTCGGACCTCTGATGATGCATGGGTTGATAGCTGGGGCGATGCTCAACTAGAGCCGAGACGTTGGGTTTCAAGCTGTTAGATGCGTCTAAGAAAGTATTAGAGTGCGTACGAACCAGAATATTGGCAAGGAAGATAACTGTGAGTGCGGTACTTACTTATTGTGTTTTCCTGTCTGGCCGTCATTTCTAAATCTAAAGGACCCTAATCAAATCTGTGATATCGGTGTTGAGACGATGTTTGCCAAGAAAATGCAAGACCGAAGACTTCGGCGTGGGCTGGTAAAGGACATTGATCGCAGGACCTTACCATTCGGCGAGGGATGATTGCAAGACGGTTCCCCTTGGCCACTTGTGATGGAACATTCTTGATGGGAAAGCTCGAGGTGAATTGTGACGAACTGTAGGCCTAGCTTGCTTAGTTCTCAAGAGGTCGATTAGTGAGGTCGATAAGAAGACTTACCTGCTCACCCAATCGACTCAACTGTTTGCCCGTGATGGTAGAAATACTTAAGACGATGTGAGATATGTGATGACTTGATTTGTCGAGAACTCGAAGTAGATGGTGTGATCTAGGAAAATGAATCTCCAAGGTCAGCGCTTTTCGAAGAGTAGTCGCAAAAAAAACTACCTTTTTTCGCGTACGGAACATGTTTGAGTGAGCTCGTATCGAAAGGAACCCTTACGATGACAACTTTTAGCCTCTATCCTCCCGTCTGCCTGGCCACTTGATCTCGATCGGCAGACTTCCGGCATGTGGAGAGCTGGCTGTGAGTGGGTCCTTGCTCTTCACCTCCACATCTTCATCATACTCGTCGTCGGGATCTTTGGCTTGAGGTCTGTTCCTGCCCGCCAATCCCATATCCTCATCGAAGGTAAAGAGGTCGTCATTTTCTAGATGCTCAAAGCCGTCTGCTCCACTAGCGGAAGGCGAAGGCTTCGAGGGATTCATTACTGCCGCACCATCAAACGCCGAAAGGCTAGCCGCCCAACCCTTCGCTGGCGCGCTCGATGACGAGAAATCGACGTCATTGCTCTGGGATCCAGTGACGATAGGGCCATAACCATTCTTGTTCCTGACGACTTCGAATTTCTCAAAGCCACCAACAGCGTCAACGGAATCTGCCGGCTTCTTAGGCGTCGCGGACTTCGAGCGGCGGGCAATTGGAGAAGTACTCGGTGATACGAGAGTATCGTCAATAGAAAACAAGACTCGCTTCGGAGATCGAGGCTGTTTAGGATCTCGAAGACTACTCCGCAGGCTTGCAAAGGAATTGTCCGATCTAAAAGAATCACTCCGATGGTGCGAAGGCTTCGCTGGTGGAACGCTGGATGATAGCGGCCGAGCAGGTAGAAGAGGAGGAGAAGTCATGGGCGGGGGAACGGTCTCCGCTGACGACGAGAGCATTGCGCTACTGTTGTGCCTTGCTGCACATAGGTTTCCAGGATTGAAAGATAGAGATTGCGGTTTCTCCTTGGATATGTTCCCCTCATCAGTAGGTGTGTTGTCCACAAGTGGAAGATAGCTTGGCGTGAAGAGTCCTTGAACCTCTTTTTCTCGCTCATGCAACACTTCTGTGGGTCGGTCTGGCCGACCTGGAGAGCCTCCTGGACTGGACTTCGATCGAATTGTATCAATCAGATTTTCTGCTTCTGGGTCTGAGCCCTTCCGACTGGCTTTTTCACCACCCGACTCTCTCTGCACATGATTGGCCTCCTCTCTCTGCATGGAACCAGCTTCTGCAGCAGCATTCTTTGATTCAGATCGTCCGCGCTTGCGTTGAATTTGCGGTGCATCTTGCACACCATTCTCCTTGGTCTTGCCTCTCAATCGTCGCTCGAAAAGCCTGTACTCATTCTCTTTCTCCGCCTTGAATTCTGCAATATCCAGATCTAGCTGTCTCCTCTTCCTTTCCAATGCTTCTGTTATCTGGTACTCTTTTTGGTCAACCGCAAGATCCGGTTCTTTTGCTCGCCGGGCCATTCTGCAGAGCAAAAGTGTGTACTGCCTTCTTCTCCTTTGTGTTGCTTCAGTAAGTCCTGGGCATGAATTTGGGCACTGGGGCACGGGCAGATGGTCTACTATATGTCTATCAGTAGGTAGCCAAAAGTCCTTCCTCCCCTAGAATCATTGTCTTGTTTGAATGCACATGTGTATCCATTCGCATGTGCATTGATCATCTGGGGAGAGTCTTGAGAGTCACAAGTTGGGGTCTTCCGAGGTCGGCTTCGGCAGGCGTTAAGATAAAGTAGTGGGGGAGTTATCCCCGAAACCCTAACTACGCCATTCATCATTTTCTCTCTGATCGTGACCGTGAAACATTCTCACGAATCTAAGTTCCAAGGCTCGAGGACTCAGAATAACCATGTTGGAATGTCCCAGAAGAAACGCAAAGTGGTATAAACCGGCTATATACCACCCTTCCAAGCCACCGTTACCAACTTAGCAATGATCAACAAACAGCCCTAAGCTTTTCCATACCAATGTCAGTATCGTCATTCCATTTCCAGCTCACAGGATCGATGAAGACGTGAAGTATTTCCATCAGTTGTTTGCTGGCTACGAGATGTTCTATCAAATTTTTGGGAAGGGAGCGACATTGATACAAACACCATACACGATGTGCGATACATCACCCTAGCCAAAGCCGATGACAGGTGTAGTGGAAAGTAGTCGACAGCAATTAATTGTCACTAGACATTCTCAAAATCGCGCCTCTCTTGATCATCCTTTGCGACCCGTTCTACAGTCCACTCCCACAGATCCTCCTGCTTCTCTACCACTTGGCTGTCCTTGCTGGACGGTATCGGTCTTTGGCCCTCGTAATACTTTCCACTGACTTGTTTCACATCATCTCCTACAGCCAACCGTGCAAGCGAGGCCCCAGAATCCCGAGGCGAATGGATGTTCGGAGAGACGAGTAGTCGCAGCAGCCAAATGGTCCGGGGCATGATTTTGTGCCAAATGAATTGCAGAATTGCTGGAGCTTCTCTCGTCAAGCCGGTCCCGGGCATCAAACCAGGGTCGAAAGCGTTGACCGTCCACTTCTTGCCTGAAGTTCTTTCCAGCCGTCTGTGCAAAGCGTACATCCACATAATGTTGCAGAGCTTGCTCGTGGCGTAGCGTTGTCTCCCGGAGTATTTCCCGGTCTCCTTGGTAGGTTGAGCTAATTCCTCGGCCGAATTGTATACCGCGTCCGGAAGCCCAGACTTCTGAGCTGGATCGTGGGTTCCACTGGAAGTGATGAGAATGCGTGCATCTTCAGCAAGGTATGTTCTCATGAGGTAGAAAAGCAGGGCATGCCCAACGTGATTGATTGCGAAAGTGGACTCGATCTTGTCTTCTGTGTAGTTGAGATCAAGGATTTGCAAACCAGCATTGAGAACAAGGGCTTTAATCTGTGGATAGCCCTTTTTCGCGTAGTCCGCGGCGAAGGAACGGACTCTGACCAGATTGGATAGGTCAAGCGTGAGATATTCGACGTTGCGGTGACCTGTTCTTTGGTTGATTGATACGGCAGCGTTGTCATTGTTGGAGCGCGAGGCAATCAGAACTTGATATTGGGGACATTGCTGGGCGATTTTCAGGGCACATTCATAGCCCATCCCTGCGGTACCACCAGTCACAAGGACTGTACCGGTTGATTTTGACATAGCTGAGAGTCTGAGTGGAAGTGCTGCTAGACTTCCACGCTCTTACCTCTGACCATAAGAAGAGAGTTTGTATAGGAGTTGGGGCGACGAAAGTATAAGGAGATGGTAGGAAAAGTGAATGAGAGCAAAGGAAATTTGAGATTATTGAGGGGGAATGCTTTGATATATACGCTGAAAAAGGGCCATGATTCAGCGGGAATGTTTCGATAGCGGTGTTTACGTTAAATCCATAGGCAGATTGTTCCTCCGTCTCCGCGTACGTACCAAGCTGGTATAGTCGATACACGGTCTCAATTTGGCTGAAGCCACATCACGAACCCGGAAAGGACCATGAAATTTCGGACGATTCGATCAGGAGAGCGTGTCCAGGGACCAAGTCGATGAAAGTGGCAGACTTGGGCTTTCGAGATTTACGCCGTACTTTAAAGTACGGATCGTGCCAAGCCAGACGACTGCCTAAACGCCGACACGCCGTAGCCGACTGCAGATGTGGGATGAAGTGACGAACATTCAAAGCAAATTTGAATTGCCTGAGCTCTAGCACATCTTGATGCCTTGAATACAACTCAATATGTGGAATGACGAGGACAACAATCCTTATAGCTCCTTTGACCGCCATGACTCTACCTCATCAGCACCCCGCCAGAACCCCCAAACCCATGGTATGCCATCCTAAGAAACAGAGAAGAAGGTTCCTTCTTGACTCAAGTCTCCTTACTTACGTGAAGCACACACCTCAGGTTTCGAGCGCCCATCTACTCCTACATCCGAAGACGAATCGCCCCCGAACGAGCCCCCAGAATTCGTGTCAAGGCAACGGGATCTGAGTGACGATGAGGATGAATATGCCCAGCAAAGAGCTCCACGCAAGAAGGGAGGCTATGACAGTCGTATCGAGCAGATACTCTACGAGAATCATGACTTGCAGATTCTTATCACAGATGCCGGGAAGAACCATGAGAGTGGGGGAAGTTACATTGCGTACACGATAAGGACTGGGGTAATTCATGGCCGAATAGAGTTCTTGATTTGTTCTCACAATATATAGGATCTCGAAGTTCGCAGGCGATACTCCGAATTTGCTTCTCTCAGAGCTACACTCGTTAATCTACATCCCACACTGATCATACCACCGATCCCAGAGAAGCATTCAATGGCGGACTACGCGGCTAAGCCTACAAAAGCGAAAGAGGACACAAGCATTATAGATCTGCGCAAGAGAATGCTTGCCGTTTTTCTGAACCGATGTCGGAAGATGAACGAGGTCCGAGAAGACGGCGTGTGGTGGAGATTCCTCGACCCGAATGCTAGCTGGGTAAGCAATGCTGAGTACGCGATGCTTGACATGGCTAATGCCGCCCCTTCAGAATGAGGTACTGCATTCACACCCGGTAAACTCGATACCAAAAAGTATCATGAAAGCGCCACCACTCGACCCCTCTAGCCCCACCCCTGCACATCAATGGCTTCCTGTCCCCTCTTCGTCAGCAAAATTGAAGACGGCGTCTAAGACCTCCGCAACCGGTACACCATCGTCTCCTCCTATGCACTCTGGCATGGCTTCTTCAGCAGCCCACACAGTCCCGGGTACTCAGGTCTTCGGCCGCTTCCCTCCGGCATCTCAAAACCTCTCCGAACAGGATCTTGACCCTTACTTTAACAACTTCGAATCCGCAACCAGGGACCTTGAACTTCTCTTACAGGGAAACATCGAGAAAGTCAATCGACGTACCCTCACACATCTCTCGGCCCTCTCCACAGACATGGCAGAACTCGGTGCGAGATACAACGGTTTCTCGCTTTCTGAGCAGTCACCAACTGTCGCTGCTGCAATAGAGCGGATAGGGCAGGCTGTGGACTCCTCGTACATTGCAACTGAAGAGTTGTCGTCTACCCTAGGCGCCAATTTTGCAGAGCCAATGCGTGAGAGCGCACAATTTGCTGGAGTAGTCCGCGGAGTCTTGAGGTTCAGAATAATGAAAAGGATACAGGAAGAGATGACCAAGGATGAGCTGGCAACGAAACAAAATCTGCTTGAGTCCTTAGAGAAGAGCGAATTAGAAGCCAATAGGATCGAACAGTATCTTGCAAGTGGTGGCCATACCGGCCCTCCGCCTAAGCGTTCCACTTCCTCAGCCTCTGCGCGGAGCATTAGGTCCGAGGCGGGTACGATCCAGCGACAAGAGGGCGAAGATAGAGCATCCATAGACTCTGATTTTCCCCCAACGCATGGAGAACCATCATCAGCATCGCATGGGGCCCAGGGCCACGACCAGGCATTGCCCTCGAGATCGAAGAGCCAAAGCGGAGGATTTGTAGCTAACAAAATCTTCGGGAGGATAAGTCATACTTTCCAAGGCATTGTTGACGTCGATCCTGAGCGGACCCGACGGGATCAGATAGGAAAGACTAGGGAGAGCTTGGTCCATGTAAGAGACCAGCCTGTAGCGCTTTCACCTCGAGCTAACGGATACTAAGCTTGAACAAGCTCTCAGTGTGTCTGATCAGGATGTCAAAGACGCAAGCGCAGGTGTTTTGAAGGATCTCAAGCGATTCCAAATGGAAAAGGAGGATGATCTCAAGCGCTATATGGTATGTATCCACATACGCATTACTTAAGCATGATGCTAATCTTCGCTTCCAGATCGCATATGCTAGGTGCCACATTGATTGGGCCAAGAAGAACGTCGACACTTGGAAAGAAGCTAAAGATGAGGTGGAAAAAATAGAAGTCAGGTAGTATTGGTATGGCGTTATGAGAATCAGTATCAGTCCTCAGGTACATAGATGTGTATCCGTATAAAACCCAAAGACTAATATCCGTATTCTCATCTCTTTGGCGACCCCTTACCTTGGGGAAATTTCGACAGTATCATTTAAGCTAGAACAAGCCTACTAGCACAGATTTGAAGCTGAATGTGAGTCTTAAGCCGTGGCTCAGATTGAATGCTTAGGTATTGGGGTCTCGCCATTCATGATGTCTTGCGGAGCAATAGAAAAATAGAAAGGACAAGCCGCGAGTTTTGGGCCCATGGAAGCAGTTGGTAGGGAATCATGATTGATAAAGTCCAGGAATGTGAAAATACAATGCGCTGGATTTACGCAGCCGAAGACAGACATGTCGTCGGTAGCGAGATCGACGCCTAGTTTGGTACCTGCGTCCAATCGTTCGACAAGATTTTGCTTTGAAAATCATACGTTGAGAAGCCTTTGCGCTCCGGAACTTTTTCTAGGGAAGGCATCAAAGCTCGTCTTTTGCTGCTACAAGTCAAACATCAAACATAGAAGAAAATAGAAGAGATTGATGAGATTGTAGACAGGATGGTCCCAACTGCCAAGGTACTGGCTCCCCACTTCTGCTCATTCGGCAGAGCGCTACCCCACATCTGCACAAGGAAATTAGTCTCAACCTTTTCTCCGTCTTGGCGTTTCTGCCGCAGTCCCGATCCATCCCTTTGTTCGTACAACGAATGGCATTGATGCAACATAAATCCCTCTCTTCAAATGTACATCACCGTATTAGCATGCTTGCGCCAGACAAGAACAAGTCCATTCTTCCCATCTCATCTCATCCCACCTGACCAGCAGAGAGGCAAAAATGGCAATCCTTGAATGCGCGCGTTGATGTTTACTGAGACTTTCACTGGGCTGAGGTCGCTATTTCGGGACAGGGGACAGGGGTACTCTAAAGTACTCGTAAGGTTACTTATTGACAATGAGATCTTGGCTGCGCCGCTAAGAGACGCCATCACCACCAAGGCAACGGACTTCGCAAATCGTAACCATCCTTCGACTTCCTACTCCTCTTCCCTTCTCCTCCTCATCGTCACTGGCGCCACTCATCACGACAGTAACGAAATCGCAACCGAGTCTTCTCATAACTGCACAACTCTCTGGTTGACGGCGCAGTCGCCCATGGCAGCGTCTCCGCCTTGCGCCTCGCCCCTACTGAATACGGCTTGAACGAATTTGCATCACGGCACTTTGAATATACTTACTACTTAATTTTTAACTTGTTACTATCTGTATTTGGGATACGTCTGTCCTTATGTTATTCTTACGGAAACCTCAGGTGCTCGGGGCTTTGGGCGCTTTGATGTATGGCGGACAGGCTGTTCAGGGAATTGAGTTGGACCTTTCAGATTCCAGTAAGATCTTACCATCACCGGCATGCCGACAATATGTTCGGACGCACAAACTCCCTGCGCTTAGATCGCTGACCTGGTTCTGTCCTTCTCTAGACTCAATAAAGCAAGCAGCAAGCACAATTGCCTACGGCATGATGACCTACTACACAGGCAATGAGACGGGACAACCGGTCGGATTGTTGCCGAGCCCTTATTATTGGTGGGAAGCAGGTGCTATGTTCGGACAGATGATTGAATACTGGTATTATACGGGCGACAGTACATACAACGACGTGATCACACAAGGCCTTCTAGCACAAGTTGGGCCTGACAACGATTATATGCCGCCAAACCAGACGAAGACTGAGGTAAGAACTGCTACGCGCAAGATACTTCCCCGGCACTGTGACCACGCCGGGAGAAATTGTGGCCAACAGAGATCCCAAAACTGACACCTGTACAGGGAAACGATGACCAAGTATTCTGGGCATTCGCGGTCATGTCTGCCGCAGAATTCAACTTCCCAGCCCCTCCAGCAGGCAAGCCTTCATGGCTCTCCCTCGCCCAGGCGGTATTCAACGAACAAGCCAGCCGGTGGGATACTACAGCATGTGGTGGAGGACTTCGATGGCAGATCTTCACTTGGAACAATGGATATGACTATAAAAACAGCATATCGAATGGGGGCTTCTTTCAACTGGCCGCACGTCTGGCTAGATATACCGGTAACCAAACGTACGCGGATTGGGCCGACAAGTCCTACGACTGGATCATTCAGACCCCACTGTTCACAAGCAACTACGTCATCTATGACGGTGCTGAAATGGCAAACAATTGCACTATTGCAGATGAGCTCCAATGGACTTACAACATCGGCACCTACCTCATGGGTGCCGCAAACATGTGGAACTACGTAAGTTTTCTTTGGTAGACTGCCTCGGGTCGACATTCCCCAAGCCCCAAGGCTGACATTATTGCCAGACAACTGGTAATTCCACCTGGGAAACCCGCATCCAGGGCATGCTGAAAGGCATGGATATTTTCTTTCCTCAACAATACGGCGGTGGGAAGATCATGGTTGAGGTCGCCTGCGAGCCTGAAGTTACTTGCAATTATGACCAGCCTTCTTTCAAAGCCTACCTCTCACGCTGGATGGCAGCCACGACCCAGCTCGCGCCCTTTACCTACGACACCATACAGCCCCTTCTCTACAGCTCAGCGCAAGGCGCCGCCGGGCAGTGCTCGGGAGGAAACAATGGTCAGACATGTGGCAGGATGTGGTACCAGAACACATGGGACGGCAAATCCGGTGTTGGCGAGCAGATGAGCGCTTTGAGTGTTGTCCAGGCGAACTTGATCTCAAAAGTGGCGCCGCCCGTCACCCAAAACACTGGAGGGACTTCGAAGGGAGATCCGAGCGCTGGGTCGACTTCAGGTGGACAGCCAACAGTCATGCTCGGTTCCAGTTTGACAAGAACGATGACAGCTGGGGATAAAGCAGGCGCTGGGATTGTAACAGCGATTATATGTTCAGGCTTGTTGGGTTCTTTGGCGTGGATGACATTTCTGTGACTGTTGTTTTGGGTTGGGAGAAAAGCGACATATGAGTGCGGCTGAGTATATATTGTCGGCATTTCATGGCGTGGGTCTCGGGAAATGGCAGCATGTCATGAATGTTGCATGGTTTTGGGGATCTAGGTGTCTATCATTCAACGAATAGGTCATACATTCTTATGTATATTGCCCCTTCAAGATTACCAGTATCATTAATAGAACTGTGGCTCGGACAAACGAGAAATGAATTAGTAGTGAGTTGTGCTGACCGTTGACGAAATCAATGACCTCGTGCAGGTGTTGATAGCTTAGCACGATCGACGCGCCTCCACAAGCGAGTTCAAATGCTGAAAGGACCACCAGCACCCTCGACACTTGATTTCTCTATATTTTAATGGATGGGCTTTGTCTGAAACTCATCGTCAGCATACTTTAATCAATCATATCTCCTGTGTGCTTGGGGTACGAGTCATCTTTTCTCCTCGCTCTTCCAAACTTTTCTGCCTAAGCCTTATTCCCTAAGGGAATAAGGCCTTCACCTTCACGACGTCTCCCAATAAGAAGCGCAAGCTTTCGCTGCCAGAATCCTCAGAGGACACCTCAAATACTCAGGAAGTATCTTCTCCGCTTGACCTCGTCATCACCGACCCCGCTATACGTCTCACGTCATCTCCCTCACCTCCGGCATACATACCCAAGCACCTAGTTCTGGAAGGAGCAAGGAAGGGGCGGTCGCCCACCCCAGAGCTGTCAACCACAGCAGCCAGCTCACCTAGTGGCGCTTATGCTGGGTTGACCCTTGATAGTGACGGTTACGCAAGCGGGACAGAGACTGCTGGGCCTAACAAGCGCAGAGGCTCGTTGGCAAGTAGCGGGTTAAGAGGTGGGACATCAAGTCCTATTCGGTCATCATCACCGGCAAAGAGGAGGGCTTCAGCTATGGCGAATGATGATGTGGATATGGAGAGCCAAGATGCTGGCTCGATTTCCGGTAGTGGAATTAAAAATACGGCGAACACAGCGAATACAGCACGGTGGAACAGCAAGAGTCAGGGAACGAGGCACAAGAGAGAGACGAGTGTAGATATGCTTGCTCAAGAATTGGATCCCCAGAGTGCCACGTCTTCTACAAGTTCCACGTCTGGTGGTGATGGAACTGCATCGTCAACTTCGAGCATGCCGACATCTGGCGACATCCCTCCCATCGATGATCAGATCAATCAGGTCCAGCAACTGGCTCAGCAGGGCTCTATGCGAGAAGGCCAGAAAGGCTATATTGTAGCCACCAAGTGGCTCAACCGCGTACTTGCAAGAGGAACTGATGGCGCAGGCTCGGACAAGTATGGCAAGGAAGCAAGAGAAGGGGCAATCGGACCTGTCGATAACACTGGAATCAACTTGGTGACAGATCGAGATGCATCTCCTTTCAATGATGAGGCCGGCGAACCGTTCGTCCCTCTTGCTCCCGGCTTGAATCTTGGTGAAGACTTCGAAATTCTACCGGAGGCCGCGTGGGAACTCATCATGAAATGGTATACACTGGCCAAAGGATCTGCTATCATTAGGAGGTATTGTCATAACACCAGCACCAGTGAGACCCAGGAGAACCTTCAGTATGAGCTACATCCTCCTGTCTTCACCATTCTGAAGCTTCCCAACAGAAGCGAGGCGTTGACAGCGAAAACTCTGAAGGAAAAGGATGCAACACCGGTGAAGATCCTAGCTAGTAGGCATGAGCTCTATCAGACTTTCCTTAAGCGAGCAAAAACGTTCTCCGGCATTGATCTGGGAACCAGAGTCCGCATTTGGAGAATTCTTGGCGGTTTAAGAGGGAAGTCTGGCGCAGAAATGATGACACCTGCCCAGTCACGAAGCACTTCGCCTGCTCCAGGAGCTATTCTGTCCGTGGACCCTGGCACCAAGCTCGTTGTTGACGCAAGCGAATTCGCAGGCTTACAGCTCGGAACTCAGCGTGAGCTGGTCGATGTCAACGACGAGACAGCCAATGTTAAATACAACGGCCATTTGAGCCTGGATGTCGCTGGGCTTCGGCAAAATGAGGTGATCGTGCTCGAAGAAATGATTGGTGGGCCCGGTGGAGGAGAGTGGGTATCCGATAATGCGGCATCGAAGATCAAGTTGCATGGCAATGTTCCTATCAGCATCACTAAGAGCGGCAATACCACGGTCAAGGACTCGCTCAAGCCAACTGCAAATACTAGTAGAGCGACTAGTCCGGCTCCGAACGGGATAATGACCCGTGGTCGCACGGCAAAGAATGGTCGTGTCCGAGGCACTGTTGGCTTGAACAACTTGGGGAACACGTGCTACATGAACTCGGCTCTGCAGTGTGTCCGAAGCGTGGAAGAGTTGACGCATTACTTTCTCGGTGAGTGGGCATTTTTTCCAAGGTCCCTGAAATGATCTACCCACGATGTCTACAGGCTTGTATCCTCATGCTAACAGCCTACAGAGGACAGGTGGAAGCCCGATCTGAATACGGACAATCCCCTCGGTCACAATGGAGCGGTGGCAAAGTCTTATGCAAGTCTTCTCAAAGACATGTAAGGCCTTATCCCGCAGCGATGTCCCGATCTCAGGGGGCGCACGCTCTGAGCAAGCTGACTGTCAATCAGGTATGCCCCGAATTCCCTGAGCTCATTCGCTCCCAGGAGTTTTAAAAACGTGATTGGCAAATATGGACCGTCCTTTTCAGGCTGGCAACAGCAGGATTCTCAAGAATTTTTGCTATTCTTGCTCGACGGTCTCCAGGAGGATCTGAATCGTGTCCAAAAGAAGCCCTACGTCGAAAAACCAGATTCTACGGACGAAATGGTTCATGATCCTGTAGCATTACAGCAAATGGCGGACAAGTGTTGGGATATCTACAAGGCACGGAGCGACTCGGTCATCACAGATCTATTTGCAGGCATGTACAAGTCTACCGTCATTTGCCCGGTCTGCGACAAGGTCAGCATCATATTCGATCCGTTCAACAACCTCACCCTGCAACTACCGATTGAGAGCCTTTGGTCAAAGCCCATATTTTTCTTTCCCATGCGCGGAACGCCAATTAGCGTTGCTGTAGATATCGACAAGAACGCGAGCTTTATGGCCCTCAAAGAGTACGTCGCCGGCAAATTTCCAGGGGTCGAAGCCAAGCGGATGATTGTTGCAGAAATCTACAAAAACAAATTCTACAAATTCTTTGGGGATAAGACCTCTATCAGCGACGAGCACATTGTCGAAGCCGACCAGATTGCGATATACGAGGTAGAGGCCAAGCCTACTAATTACCCTTCTCCAAAGAAGAAGACTTCCGGTTTCAAGATGTACAACTTCAATCGTGACGACGATGACATCCCAGAGGGTGCATCTCCCTTGGCAGAAAAGATGATGGTACCTGTGTTCCATCGTCGAGTGAAGGAAAACTTGTCGAAGTACACGCAGAAGCAAGTCTTTGGGGCTCCCTTTTTCATCGTTGTCACTCCTGAGGAAGCCAAAGACTACGACAGAATCTTACAAAAGGTCCTGGCCCGAGTGGAAAACATGACGACCCGGGACTTCCTGCGAGAGGGTGCTGAATCCCAAGATGGACCTGGAGGAGAAATTGACTCTGCCACAGAGGACTCAGACACTGTTGTTATGCACACGGACGAGGCAGACTCATCCACAGACTCCGGCGTGCAATCCAAATCTTTAGAGAGTGAAGACGGGATGATCGATATCTCTATGCGCGACGGCGAGGAGACAGCCCCTCCAAAATCCAACCTTCCTGAGCTAAACCCACTGGCCCCTATGCTCCGGCCTGGAGCCTTCATTACACCTGGCGTCAGGAGCCTCTTTGAGATGAGATACATCGCATCTAACGGGACCGAGATGATACCCACCGGCTTGACGACTCTGTCTGACGAGAGCAAAACTTACCCAACCATTGCTTCAAGGAAACCAGAGCCTTCAGGGGGATCCCCTGTCAGGGCAAAAATGAGTGTAATGGAACGAATTTCGGAACGTCAGAGCCGGGCGGTGAGCCCACCCTCCAGCGATGAAGATGCAGATGATGTACCACCTGCGGCACAAGCTCAAGCTCAGGATTCTGCCGACGATTCGGATGGACTCCCAGAGGTTGCAGAATTGGCTCAGCCTAGAATGGGCTTTGGTACGTTTGGCAGGAACACACAGCGCAATAGTAAAGGGCTAATCACATACTCCCGGAAAGGCAATCAGTCAGCCTCGAAGCTGCGGCGTGATGGAGACACCTTACCGGGCGAAAGCTTACCGTTAATACACTTGGGTGAATCCATTCTGCTCGACTGGACCCCAGAAGGCTATGATGCTCTCTTCTCTGGGGCTACTCATCGTGCGAATGAAGAAATGCGGGGTTCACGTACTTGGGAGAACGTCAGCACTTTGCCAGATCCGGAGCTGGAAGAAAAGCGAAAATCTCGTTACAGTCGAAGAAAGAACGGCGTCACTCTTGGCGACTGCCTTGATGAGTTCGGAAAGCCAGAAATCCTGTCTGAAAGTGATGCTTGGTACTGTCCAAGGTGCAAAGAACACCGTCGCGCCAGCAAGCAGTTCGAACTGTGGAAATCGCCCGACATTCTTGTCATACACCTCAAGCGATTCAGCGCACAAGGTCGCTTCAGAGATAAGCTCGATGTCTCCGTCGACTTTCCAATCAAGGGCCTGGATCTGACTACTAGAATGGCCATGCAGGAAGCGGGAAAGAGTCCAATCTACGATCTCTTTGCGGTAGACAATCACTACGGCGGTCTTGGAGGCGGTCACTATACTGCATACGCATCCAACTTCATGGAAGAGAATCAGACCTGGTATGAATACAATGGTGAGTGACTAGCCGAGTCCTGTTCATTTAGGGGCTTACTGATCGTCATAGACTCCTCCGTATCGCGCAGAACAGACCCCCAAAAGGTGGTGACAAACGCCGCCTACCTCCTTTTCTACCGACGTCGCTCTGTCCACCACCTCGGCGGCCCGAACTTCGAGTGGCTTTCGACCCCCGAAACCAACTCGTCCGAATCCCAGCCAACCTCCCGTGCTACATCACAGGCGGGGGAAGGCAAGCGTCTCGACGACTCCTCCCGCAATGGCTCGTCGAGCGCTTTACGCGGAGTAGGAGCAGCTCACCAAGCGGGAGGTGGTGGCTCGGCGGCAGAAGGAGTGATGATCGGTCCGATGAGGACAGGAGTTGATGATGACTTGCCTGCTTATGCGGAAAGCGATCCTAACGGCGCTCCCACAGTTGACCCAAGGGGTCTGAACGTGGAGCCAGACATGGATGAAGACGACGAGGGAATCGGCATGGCGCCAGGGCCTTTAACCTACGTCAGTCCTAAATCGGACTGGAGTTTCGATCGCCTGGGTTACGGAGAAAACGAACAAATTACGGCCGCACCTCATACCAGTGACAACGACGAGGACTTGTTTGCAGGGGATAACAGCAGCACTAAAGCGGCAGGCAGCTCCTTCAGCAATGGTGATGGCGATCGTATGTTGGATTTCCAAACGGATGAGGGGACTACTATGGGGCCATTTGCGACACCGCCGGACGATGAGGTACCTCTTGATGTGCCGTTGATGCAGGATCAATACGAGGAGACGGTGGCCGAGGTGATGATTTCGGAGAATGATGAGTTCAAAATGGACTGAATGGGCGGGTCCAGAGGTGGTACAATGTTCTCTCTGACTGAGAGGTGACGAGAGGGTCGGTCGAGAGATAGTGTAGGTTCTATGGGTGTCATGAAGCTGGTGACGTGACTTCAGAACATCGCATTCGGATTGCTCATGAAGATGAGTGGGGGGCTATTGTAATTAGAGCACAAAAGCAAAGCTAGACAGACAGCATTTGATGCATTACATCTTGAATACCTTTCAAGGCATTCCGTTGTCTGCACCGCTTACCACCTCGATCCCCTCATTAACTAGCCATTCAACTAACCATGAGCCACGCCAATTGAACAATCGTACCATCCCACGCATCTTGCCTCAAAAAACCTCATCCCCACCACCGCATCTGTTCCCGCGGCAGCAGCAGCAGCGACCCTACCCTCTCCTTCCCCTGCCCTCACCTCTACCGCACCGAGCTACCCTCCTCCCCCTCCTCCACCGCCAACGACCCCCCTCATCTCATCTCATCTCATACTCCTCCCCCTTCACCCCCCCCTCTTCCCTCCGCTCCACCATCCCCTTTCCACCCCCGCCCACAACCGCAGCCCCAGCCCCTCTCGAACCCAACCCCAACCCCAACCCCAGCCCGCTCCCGTACAGACCGTTCAGGACGGCGGCGGGACCGGCCTCGACGCCGTCCAGGCCCTCGATCCCGCGCCGCTGGGCCACGGTGCCGGATGCGCTTTTGCCGCGCCGGTTCCATTTCCGGTTCCATTTCCGGGTGTGAAGGGTTAGGGGGGGTTTCGCGTCGTCGGTGCGGTGTCGGCTTTTGGACCGCCCGCGATCGGGATCCCGGACGGGACCGCGCTCCAGTTCGGCTATTTTGCGCCCTCGGTGGAGGTGGATGAGGATGATGGCGATGAGGGTGCAGAGGAGGGCGAGGGTGCAGAGGAGGGTGGTGGCGATTAGGGTGGCGCGTTGGGGGGGGGTCCAGGGGGTGGTGGGGGCAAGGGGTGGTGGTGGTGGTGGGGTGGAAGGGGTTGCGGGGAGCCGGACGGTGTTGGTGGTTGTTGTTGTTGTTGTTGGTGTTGGTGGGGGGACGGGGGGAGGGGTGGGTTGGGGGAGGGGGGAGAAGGAGAAGGAGGGTGTGGTTGAATGGTGGGGGGTTGCGGAGTGAGAGGAGGAGGAAGGTTTTAGAGTCTTCGGGTTTTTGGTACTGGTTGGGTGAAGAGAGAGTGTGGTTTCGACTGTGGTTCTTGGTATACTGGTTGGAGTGTCGGTGCGTGCGAGAGTGTCTGTGCTGGCTTTGGTGGAAGCCATGATCGCCATAATCGTTGTGGGAGTGTTGTGTTTGGAGTCATGGTTGCATTGAATTAGAAGTGGAGCGGAGGAGAAAGGAGAGTGGAAATACGCTGATGTGATTTGCGAATGCAACATCATCATGCGGGTAGGACTCGTCAGCGCTTCACTTCACTATGGAGAGCACGCGCCAAACCGTATTGGGGAGTTCCTCCACGGCTCCGTTGTGAAACCTTCCCTATCCTATCAGAAGCTCTTCCGCCATGTGACATCTAACCCCTCTTTACAATCCGGGCCGAACAGTGACAGCGATCCCCTTACCGCTCGCCACCATGAAAATCAACCGTCTTGCATTTCTACCCATTCCCAATCTCAAGCAGAAGAAGGCGGCACCAATTCAACATCCACAGTCTCCTTCCGACCCACTCTCCATGTCATGTAAGCGAGTGTCAGGCATGCGGCTTTCAGCGCGTAGTAGAGGCCGAGGGAACCGACGAGGATGCAGGCGAGGATGATCGCGATGGCCGCGTTGCCCTGCATGCTGGATGGATTCTGAAGCTGGGTGGGGCGTGGTTAGTTGAGCGATCGAGGAGATTTGGTGGAAGGAGGGAGAGCTTACGGGTGCTGGTGGTGAGTGTTGCGGGGCTGCTTTGAGGGGAGCGAGGATAATGGTATCGTGGGGAGCTGAGAGACGTTTGTCAGCTAAGGCAAGATAGGTCCCTATGGCTTGAAACTCACATCTTGAGCTCGAGTGTTGAGTGGGGTTGTGGTCTAAAGCAGCAGGGACAATGTCCGTGATTGTGAGGATTGAGCAGCAACAGAGCTCGAGTGTTGAGTGGGGTTGTGGTCTAAAGCAGCAGGGACAATGTCCGTGATTGTGAGGATTGAGCAGCAACAGTGAGTCAGATATTTGTTATGTAGAGGATCAATATCACAATGCATCGACATCGTCACCATGAAAAGGACTAAAATAGTCCCTTGCGATGATCTGCGTCATGTTGATACTGCCGAAACATCAATTCTTCACCGTGGCAACTACCCCTGATCTTGACTCTGGCAATTGAAGCTTTCCTCTACTATTGTCTCAATGCGATGGAGTAGCAGATCATGAAAGAGCCTTGATCTGCCCAAGTCTAAAAGCTTCTCCAACAATCCAACAAATACATGCTCTTTACCCTTTCCCTTTGAAGACACATGGTTCCCGCAGCGTATGATGATTACCCTCGCTGCTAGGAAGACTCGAGTGAAAAGGGTAAAGACTTCTGGCTTCGACGTCGGACTCAGCGCTCCGTCTACACCGTTTTGGATAATCTCAAGAATATGCGCGAGTCCTTCGCGAGTCCAGGTTTCTAAATCTGATGCGAGGCTCGCGGGCCATGCGTCAGGATCAAGCCGGCACAAGAGTTCCGCCCAGCCTTCGGCTTCGCTGACTGTATCGATATACAAGTTCTGTTTTTCTTCGACGAAGACTACGGTTGATGTCGTTCGGGCCTCTAGAGAGAGATCGGCAACAGAGCGGATGTGCAAAACAGACTTGCCTGGCTTGGTCTGAGATTCGCCGTCCTGCATGTTGGCTGAGGCAGAGTCTATTGCTGAAATCATACCAGTCAGTCGTACAATAGTTTCCACGCAGAGCGGCATCGAAGTTCGATAACCTTCGCATAAGAACCGAAGTAATCCTTTTTTAGCCGCAGGTGGAGATAGCGATAGAGTATTGGTGCCGTAGTCAGCAGCCGTGGACGTAATCACGGAAAGTATAGTCGAGGCGACCCTTGCTCCTTGGTCTCGGACATCTTCATCATCATCTACCAGGCTGTCATAGAGTGCCAGATAGACTCCGAGAATCTGAGGATCTGGGACCAGTTGGAAGTTATGGTCCAGTAAGCCATCAAAAAAGGCTCTTATTGAGAAGACTACTGCCGTCCTAGTACGAAGATCCTGGCGTACAATGTCAGCAAGTTATCCATGCACCAACGTGAAGGACTCACGGAGCGTTCAGCTCCTGCTGTGGAAAGCAGACGGATCCATGCTTGAACTTCAGTGTTAGTGGCATCAAATGCATAGCGTTCTCCAAGAGCATATCCCTGCAAAGCGAGGGTATAATCAAATTGCCGATGATTCTTCGTGATCATTCTGATAGTTGTATCAGAGCATTGCGTTATGTCTGGAGCCGAACGAAGCTCACGAGCGGAACAGAAACGTAGGACGGCCAAGTCGTTCTCATCAGACATATACTGTAGTGCCATATTCACGATCTGAAGCGCATCCTTATCGGCTCCTGAGAAATGCCGGAGAGTTTCAGTACAACCATTCCTCTGTGGCCGATGTTTCAAAGCATGCATGTAGTTGGCTAGGTTTATGCAACGCTTTAGGGGGCTACTTTGAAGAGCCGAGGCGGAATACTTCGCTATATTTTCTTGGTCCATCGCCAATACCGGCAATAAGAAAGACTTGGTTTTCTCGCCTGCAATGTCCTCAGTATGCAGCAATTATGGCACGCAAGTGACTTACTGTTGGACAGATTTAAGATAGCAAACAAGTCTGCTAAAATGTTGAGGAATGCTGCGGTAGTGACCGGGCAAGCATTGCGTATAACTAAGGCCTCGAATGAGTCTTCTAACATGGGCGGGATCGCTTCATAAGTGCCTGTCAAAGCGATTAGCAACTTGGCGGCTCCAGAATGACAGATTCCTACTTAGTGAGTCGCCAAACAGTGGAGCTTCATTACGAGCAAGCAAGAATCGCAGACGGAGGAGTCTCCCATGCAAAGCGTTTTGTGATATCCAATTAGGCGCAAGCAAGCTTGTGACTTCCTCCACGATGCTTGTTTCATCAACAATCAGGCTCAGGGCTTTTGCAGCTTTCTCCCGGATCGACCAGTCAGGCGACTCGTTGTAGTATCGCAAAGCATCAAGAAACAGGCTCTCGTGCTGAGATGGTATACCAGATCTTTCGATTACCTCGAGTGCAGGAAAAACCTTGTGAGCTTGCATCGCCGGGTATAATTCTCTGCCATTGGCTTGCGTTTGGGTCGGTGTTCGGCGAAGTAGTCTTAGTAGAAGCTCTGGTAGGTTGGCATATTTTTGGTATGTCAATTGCGAGAATCGGCGATGTGAGCTGGAGGCTTTGGTGGACGAAGTATCAGTCCCACCATTGAGACGCTTTAACAAAGCTTTGAAAAGCATTAGGCCGCAATTGCGTATGTTCCATCTGATAATCTGTCAGATATCATCGTATGCTTCTGCAGAAAATGAAGGCAGTCATACATGTGACTTTCAAGGCACGAAGCGGCAATTTCCAAGGTATCCGCAACGTAGATTTCTGTGTTGAGCCCGAATCGTGCATCCGTGAAGATGTCTTTGAGGCAGTTCAGCGCATGCACTTGAGGTAGAGAGCCCAGATCAACCCCAATAGGTGCATTTGCCATGGCTTGCAGGTTCACAACCACATCATCAAAGAACTTGTCTCCTGGATAGGCGGCGAGTACACCAGTGATTATAGCCGGTATACCGGCGGATCTTCTCGTAAGCGAGGAGGCATTGTCCTCGATACTTTTCAACGCAAGCTACCACTGGTGAGCTTCCGTGACAATATACTTCGAGCAGGAGAGATTACCTTATACCAAGTCTTAGGATATTCTCGAACTGCTAGTTGGGATGAACGAGCACACATTATGCAGCACGCCGCAAAAGTATGCGAGACTGTGGAGAAAGCTCCCCGATGACGCAGCTCAGCCAGCTGCGTAAAAGCTTGGAGTCCGAATTCATGATAGCCTTTGTAATCGGTACTCTCGCGGAGAGATGAAGGAATGTAGCCAATATTCGTGACCATTGCATGCATCAGTAAGCTAGAGACAAGTTAGCTAATGGCCAAGTTTTGTATTAGTGACGTTTCGACGGACCTTGATTCTTTTAAGGCCCGCCAGCAGAATGAAAGTATATCTTTGGTTCCTCTATCCTGTTCATTGAAGTCGTCCTCGCTAATGTCATGACCCTCTGGAGCATCGAAGCAGAGGACGTCTTGCACTACCTCCCAGACACCAGAGCAAACAGAAAATATTCTTCTATCGAAAACTTCCCATTGGTCCAGCGATGCGTCGAGCGATCTGACGTAGTCGGTGCGGCTGACTATGTATCTAGATACTCTCCATCAGCTTTTGTAGATTTTGAGTAGAGAGGAGGATAGTTTACCTGAGAGCGATCAGATGGCCGTGAAGAGGCCTACTACTGACGGCGAACAGCAGGTCGCCTTTGGCGATATCGACCTCCTCTTCCAGCGTTGATATGACGTGGTCCACTATCAAATAATGACTTTGGTGCCACCCAGCTGGCTTGACAAGAGTCCCACTGGTTGTGTACAGGAGATTAATCAGTCTTCCAAAACCGTCTGCGTGATCTGCTCGACCTGTGATTCCGGCTCTGTTCTCAGCTTTGTTCAAGTTGATGAGTATCGGATGATTGGCTTTGCGATGGCCCTCTTCATTGTCGGCTTGATTCCTAGCTTCCTGGTCCAATGAGTCTGCTTTGTCATCCGTTCCCCCTCTGGATATACTTTTTCGTGGGATTGAATTTATCGACAGATGAAGATCGAAGACTGTACTTGCGGATTGGCGGACATCATCAAAGGGGTCCAACAATAACTCAGTAAGGGGCCTTAGCAACAAGCCTCTGGGCAGGTGTTCGTTCAAGGCGTCGAGGTAGTCATTGTGGCTTTTCGACGATAGACTGCGTAGAGCGATAGTTTGCTCCGTCAAGAATTCTAGTATCTTCAGTGCCGTGATATGGCTTTGATATGATGCTGTTGGGCGCAGTTCTTGAAGTAGAAACACCATATACCATTTTCGAAAAGCGAGGTGCTCTTCCAGAATGTGCGGTCCCTCATCCAGCACTTGCTTGATGACATTTCTTGAGCTCACTGGCCCTTCGCCACCAATCCTTGCAACTGATCGGGATGTAATGGACCTTTGCTCTCTAGTCAAAACGTCTGGATCCTGACCGTGCCTCAACAGAGACAGGGTAGCACCTCGAAGTCTCATACAAAGCTTCTTCATCAAAGCGATGAATTCGTTACGCGGCTTTGCATTGACTTCAACATGAAAGTAGGGTATACACTGCTGCACACGACGTAGTACTCGTCTGCAGAATGGTCTTGCAGAAGCCGAAGAAGAGACCAAGAGAGAAAGAGCGGCAAGTCTCACACTTGACGAGGAATGTTCGAGGAGGCTGATCCCAAGATCCGTCAAGTCAAAAGAGGTGCTTTGCCTTTGATCAAAGCATTTCCCGAGGCTAGAGTCTCCGTCTGTTTTTGCCACCAATAAGCATAATTGAATCTCTGAAATACTGCTGGAACCTACATTCCCACGCTGGATGCTTTCAAATGGCAATGTCCTTAGGAAAGCCTTTACATGAGCAGGGCCCAGGCGGAACAGACCTGGCAATATGTGAATTTCGAAGACTTCCAAAAGTCCCTGGTGTCGCTCTAGAGTTCGCTTCACAGGGGATATCCACAGTGGTATTACACCATCTTTCGAGACGTGAACGGTATCGCCATTCTGGCTCTTTCCAAAGGACTTGAAAAACACGGGCAAGAAACGTCCCACAGCAGGAGCGCAATCGGGATACCGCATCCATTCCAACGCACTCAGTGCAAAGTTCTGTACAGACTGATCGACCCGTTCCTGCTGATTATCAAGATCCTTGTTGTCCTTTTGCAATGACTCCATCCGAGAGAGTCTCAGCTCTTCTGGCCTTTTGATTTGGACAATTTCGACAGCAGAAAGGAGATCTCTGCTAAGGAAGTGCTCCAATACTTGTATTGCAGGCTTGATATCTGCAAAGTCATGTTGCTTGCGGATGGCTCGAGTAGCAATACAACTAGCAGTCCCGAGCAGGAAGTCTCTTTCTGTATCTACAGGATGCTTCGATACTAGGCGTGCTAGTGTCAGTAGAAGCCTTCTCAGTGGCTTGGGTTTGTTGTTATCTGATTTTGTAATGTAGACATTGAAAGCTCGTGTCCATATCTCCGGATTGTAGGAGAGATCACGAATTCGAAGTTCAGAAGAGGCACTACACTGTTCAAGAAACCCGCAAAGAGCATTCAGGGCGGCAGCCCCATGTGTAAGAGAAAGCTCCGTTGAACTAGCGGTCTGTAAGAGGTCTTGTAGAATTGACTGAATGTGCCTTGTCGTCTGTTAGTAGTCTTCTTCAGCCTGATGGCGGATTCCATACGCAATGACACCCTCCTCGAGAACGTCCACATTATTCGGAATAAGCCCCGTCAAAGACTTGCTCAATTGACGCAGTGAATCCTCAGATAGTATTTTTATTTTCATTGCTGCTATTGATGAGGTCTTGAGGCTCGCGTTCTCTGTTGAGCTCCATTGCGTAGATGTGCAAAAGCCATCGCCACTCATCAGCTACCAGATTCCAAGTAAGACTTCGCCTTTGCTCTCACAATGTATGAAACGTGATGGCGAATGGCCACGCGCAAAATCGTGACTAGAACTCTATTCCCGGAAAGGCAACTTTGCCGATACAGCCAATCATATCGACCTCGAACAATTTTTGGCCTCCTCACAACCAAATGCGACAGCTCCAAGTCCTCCACCACGTATAATTTTGGCTCTCCTTCACATCCTCAACCCGCCACTATGTCTCTCTGGGGTACTCTCACAGGCCAAAAGTCATCCTCTTCATCCTCTAGCTCTTCATCCTCTCACGACCCATCCTCATCCGCATCACCATCATCGAGTGCCCCCTACCAACCCACCGCTTTCGATCCCGCCTCGGCTCAGGATGTCTCCTCATTTCTCGATCCTGCTGCACTCCCAGACCCATCTCGACTTCACCCTCTCGCCGGCCTGAATCAAGATACCCTAGACTACCTGACACTCGATGAATCCGCCCTCTCCGACCTCCCTGGCTCCCAATCAGCACTACCCTCTCGCGGTTGGTCCGACGACCTCTGCTACGGTACTGGCGTGACATATCTCTCCGCTCTCACGCTGGGCGGAACATGGGGCATGATAGAGGGACTTCGAAAATCTCCAGCCTCAGCACCCCCAAAACTGAAGCTGAATAGTGTATTGAACAGTATGACGAGAAGGGGGCCTTTCTTGGGAAATAGCGCGGGGGTGATTGCTATGGTCTACAACGGGGTAAATTCGACGATTGGATATTACAGGGGAAGGCATGATAGTGCCAATAGTATCATGGCAGGGGCTTTGAGCGGGATGCTGTTCAAGAGTACGGGAGGAGTAAGGCCGATGATGATTAGTGGAGGGCTGGTTGCTTCAGCGGCTGGAGTGTGGGCGGTGAGTTCACTGGTGTGGGATCTCTGGGCGAGCAAGGCTGACGAATTTGTGCTACAGCTGACAAGGAAGACGATTTTTTGAGCTGTGTGAAACGACATCACAAATGCCTAATATGTCGCTACAATCGCGATTGGAGATCTGTCATACATCCTCCTACCCTTGACTTTTAGCGTTCTCTCTTGCATAGACAGATATATCCTCGTCATCAGGTGGGCCTGCTGGCTCAGATTCTTCACTCTCAAGGGATGTGCTCTTTTCGAGAGCTCTGTATCAACGCACAGTTATGCAGCATGGCGTTGTGTTTGTAGGACTTCATTACACAGAACTTAATGCATTTGTTGAGGTGCTTGGAAGTTGAGCAGGAGCTATGACGAAAACTCTTCTCCCTTCTTCATGTTCCCGTTTACCTTTCAAGATAGTCCGCCTCTAGGCGCGTCTACGCTCCAACAATGACGCACCGGAGATACTGCATAGAGGGCTCCCGCTGCAGTCCAGAATGCGTGATACTGTGAAGCAGCAGTGAAAAGGAAATAGCGACGAAGGGTAGGGAGCCCAAAGAAAGTGCAGGAATCTGAGGGAAGGAGCCAGCGCGCACCACGGAGGAGCCTCCGAGAACAATCATATTATCATGACAACGTACATTAAACCAATCGAGAGTGCAAGAGTGTGTCTTTTGCGAAGTGTGACAGTGTTTCTGCCGTCATCGCCAAGTGACGATGAATGCCCCCGGAGCCTCAACCTCTGATCCATCTCAACACAAAATAAAACGCGTCACCATCAACACTTCTCTCAGCACCCTTAGCCCCACCCACCATGAAGCCATGAACACCGCCACGGTTCCAGTCCAGCCAGGCGCGCGGGGCGGTAGAGTCTTAGACATGCGCGATGTTATATTATGGCAACAAGAGCAAGCCCAACGCCAGGGCGAACTAGGCTTCACGACGAACTTTCCGGACCCTTCAGAGATCTTTAAACCCTTCACAATAAATCCTTATACTGAAGACGAGCTTCCAGCCGAAGATCGCGCTGCGGTCGTCGCAGCCATGCAAGAAACCCACAGAGCAATAATCCAGCTCCATCAACGCAAGATTCTCATGGATGGAGCTGGACCTCTCTTGGCGAGCACGGAGATGAATGTGAATCAAAAGTTACTGGCTGCTGGTGTACCTGAGCAAGAGCTTCCAAACAAGAGCCTAAGACAAAAGATTGTGCAGTTAGTCGAGCTTAAAGAGCCGCCACCCAAAAAGAATTTTGCGGCCGTGTTGGTGGACATAGCCTCAACCACCAAAGGACGAAGCCATATGCTGGAGGTCAATTTGCCGCTCAAGGCTTTCTTGGCAGAAGTCTACGCGTTGCTAGACGAAGTTGTGAAGGCTTTGTTGTCTGAGAAAGGGCTTTCCTATGAGCGAGGAGGCGCATGGAAATATCAGCTAGTCGACCAGATTCAGTCTCAACTGCTCATGCACAGATCTTTGCCCCTGGAGACCGATCTCGACTACAAATTGATGCTGCAGCAAATGTCGAGGGTTGGCGATGAGGAGGCGCCTGTAGCTGTGCTTACGCAGGTATGTCTTCGTCATTTATTTAATTTCGAGCAAGTACATGCTCATTGTTACGTAATCAGGGCGGTCTCGCAAGGCCTATAAACATAAGCGGAGCTAATGCGAAGGCGAAGGCAAGGGGACATAGCATGAGCGATGCGCTCGAAGTGTCGGACGAGGATGACAATGTGTTCGGGGTGCTCGACGAAGATGGTAAGCCTTTCTTCGAGCCTTTGGACATGGATAGGATGTCCAAGAAGTATGCGAGGATTGGGGATGATCTCACAGAGGAAAACGGGATTCATGGATTCTGGCGATGAATTGCCACCGAGTCACCGAGTTCCAGAGCTTGGGCGTGTATCAAAAGCTGTCCCGGATACCGTGGAACGTTTTTTGAAAGAATAGCATACAAGCACATATTACCGCACCATACAAGGGCGTGTTGTCAGATTAGATCAAGTATTTTCACCATCATCGACAGTATCGCGAACCCAACAAAGGCGATCTGGCATCCTCGCTGAAACCATCACAAAAACGGAGGCTTCATTCAAGGCTGTCGAGACTTCCTCATCAAGCCCACATTAGAACACAGTTCCATAGTAGTCGTCAAGCGTTGCTCTATCATCATTCAACACAATTAAAGAGAAAAAACAATTAAATCGGTGCCTGCAAATTAAGAGCTTGAATGATCGACAACTTTATGCCGCTAAGGCCGCTAGCGCGACCCAGTGAAAGTGGGCCGACACAGATAAAGGGTTCAAGTTCCCCCGAAAATTGAAGGCGGATCCGAGGTCGCGAGTTCGAATTATGCAAATCTTGGCATCTTCTGCATTGCACGCATAATCTTTGTGCAAGCGAATTGTTACAGCTTTACTCTATTGGGAAGGTTCGACTGATATTGAGACAACACACATTGCACATTCCTGAGACATTACAAAGACATAGCAGATCTTTCTTCTATTAGCCTGGACTCGTTGCGCTCCGCCCCACTTCAGTGTTCATAATGGATGATTTCGAAGGTTCCTACGCACCGCAATCACCAGATCTTTCCGGTTTCCAAACATTCGACGATCCAGATCCGTTTTCAGCTCCCTACTACCCACCCCAGCAAACTTCCTACCAACCTTCATATCTCCAGCAGCCCTCGAACCACGACCCATTCTCGTTCGACCAACCACCACCACAACACCAACAACAAATATTTCCAAATCAATATCAACCACCAATCATGCCCCCCACGAACGGAAAAGCCAAATCTCGCGCCAAGAGTGAGGAAGACGAGTTCACTCCGGAGGCACCAGCAAAGGCGAAAGGTCCAGGCCGCAAGTCAAAGAAACAGAAGGTCGAGGAAGAAGTTTGTGCTAAGCCGGCGCCAGGGGTGGAGGAAGGCATTGAGGTGAAGACGAAATTTCCGGTCGCGAGGATAAAGCGCATTATGCAGGCGGATGAGGATGTGGGCAAGGTGGCGCAGGTTACGCCAACCGCTGTTTGTAAGTTCGCCCACCCCTTACTGCCAGATCCCACTCCGACAAACGAATCGCAAGACTGACAGCTTTCGTGTTATAGCCAAAGCGCTCGAACTTTTCATGATCTCGGTGGTTACCAAAGCGGCCAACGAGGCACGAGCAAAACAGTCAAAGCGCGTCACGGCAGCCCATCTGAAGCAAGCGGTGGTGAAAGACGACCAGTTGGATTTCTTGGCGGATATCATATCAAGGGTGCCGGATGCACCTACGGCATCGAAGAAGGAGAAAGAAGAGGAAAGTGAGGAGGGTGGAGAAGGGAAGCGGAAGAAGAAGGGCGGGATCAAGAGAAAGAAGAAGGACGATGATGACTTCTAAAGGAAGGTTCGGAGGACCTGGGAGGTTTCAATTCTGTGTGTTGGGCTCCATGCAGGCACGCTTGCTTGCTTGAGAAGGATATCTTAAGCGATAAACAATAAGCATTTTGGCTAGAATGATGCTAGGGCAGTGAACATCTCTTTCCCACTCTGCAATATTGACAACGCAATTCTCTTCGTGAACATGTCGCTTTGTTGGAGTATTCCCAGGGGTCCAGTGACGAAGAATCTTGCCCGAATGACACACAAGCTGCACAAGTATCCCTTCACATTGTCAGTGTGACGGTTGCGACCCATCTGTTGAGCTTGTGAGCCTGTAGGGTCGAGTGCAAGAGTGGCGTGAGATTTGCCTCAGTTCCTCCGAAAGCCCGGGCCTACCCTATCGCTTTAGGGGCGGAACAAGTCCGCGCTCGGACTGGGACAAAAGTATCCAACAACGGCTAATCCTCGGGAAGACCCAGACGCGACTCCATCGCCCTGGTTGTTTGGGTTGATGCTTGGGCGAGCTTAGCATCATGGACCTAGTAAGCCTTGCACCCATTTGAATCTTTCCCATGCTAATGACCGTAGCTGTCGAAGCTTGTAGGGAGCAGCGGTGCCTCTCCAGCCAAGCAAGTAGGATTCAACTCTCCCCAACAGCGCTCGATCCGCTTCAAGAAGCTGCACGATCAGCTACAGGTATGCTCTCTATGAGGCCTTGCTTAGATTATCGCTGACTTATATAGTAGCAAATATGGCGCCGCAACACATCTACCAAGCAAGACGTCCCAATAGAGCCAGTCTTGGCCTGCTTCGAAGACGTAAAAAAGACCCTCCAGGATGAAGTACAAACACCCGGACCTCACCTTTGTGCACGACATGTGTCTACATTCCAGATATACTCAACGTTGAGCCAAGTGGCTTCAACGTATCACAATGAGCCCATCATCCAAGTAACGCTGGATATCTTGAAGATCCTTATCGATTGCGAGGAGGTGGAATTCCTAAAGGAAAAGACCTTCGCAGATGCTTTACTTGGTTTTGTCGGTACAGTTTCTACTACAGGACCTCTGATGGTCTCGGTAGACACAGAGGGAAAAATCGTAGAAGTGCTGTTTGCGATTGCTTCCAAGTTACGCCTTCAGCCAAACCTACTGCCCACCTGGTTCCGACCGAACACGACGGCAGGAGAACGAGACCTTGGACCTCATACAAGAAAAGACAAGGACGTGTTCCCACTCTTCTATTTCACATTGGACTATGTACACCACGATGGGAGAGTGGGAGACTTTGCTAGAACGGGGTTGCTTTACATCATCGAATCGGCGTCTCATTCCGAAGCACTGGAGAGTTGGATTGTGGAGAGCGATCTCGCAACCTTAATGGCAAGTGGGTTGGGAGCGCTCTACAGCCAGCTCAGTAGGAAACTTGTCTTGTCTTTCACTAAAGACACCATACCTGCGATTCTATCATTCTCCGACACGCCTCGACCGAAGACGCCCTCTGATGCCGAAAAGACAACTTCTTCAGACTTTCAAGCCCATCTATCAACATTTCTCTCATATCTGGTCTTCTGGCAGGATGTCCTCGAGCATTGTGGCTCTGAGGATGTCAAGCGCAGCTTGCTTGATCATTTCAAGTTTCTTTTCTTGCAACAACTACTCTATCCTTCTTTGATGGAGTCTTCAGACGCTGATGGCGGATCATCCGTGGCTGTTTTAACATATTTGCGATGCATCGTAGAGTCCATCGACAACCCTGAACTCATACACTTGACATTGCAGTATTTACTGGCGATCCCTGACATCCCAGAAGATGAACGTAAGCCAGCGAGACCGGCTACGCTGGCTCGTCGCCGAAAGTCGCAAACACTCGTCACAAACCTGACCCACGTTCAAGAGAAGCCCATGCCCGACCTTTTCACTCTTGTCGACCTTGTTATCACGAGCCTTCGATCTCGCAACCAGCAAACGGTCACAGCAACTCTCCGACTCGTCTCTGTCATTCTACGTAGCCAACACCAATTTGCGGTGTCGACTATAATTAAGACTCAATACTCTGGAAATCTACCTGTCCGCACGATAGGCGCTCATTACAGAGATACCGCCCTTTTATTCTCAATGGCCGAGGACATTATGTTTCATGACGATCTACGAGAGGCTTACGATACACATTTAGAAGACGCGAGGACGCTTCTTGAAAACCACTGCTGCTCTCCGTTGCTACTTGCGTTACCAGTCTCTAAAACGGCGCTACGAAACGAGAATTCTACTCATTTCGTGAAAAATGGTGATGCACTGAATTCGCATTCGATAAGACCTGATGATCCATTACTCCGGGCTTTGATCTCGTTGTTGGAAAATTTCCTTGCGAACGACATTGCCACGAATCTAGATCTCACCCAAGCTCTTGCAACACTGGTTTCTTGTGGCAATACGCGCCTGGAAAGCTGGCTCCTTCAGGAGCCTGCTGATTACGATGCTTCCTCCAAACAAAGCGCGGTCTCCGATGATGGGCTCGATGAGTCTGACCAAGATGATACAATCACGCTCAACAACCACATTGGTGATACCAAGCAGAATGCCGAATCCCCCAAAAGGACTTCTCCTCCTGAGTCGTACGTAGCTAATCATGTTGCTTCGCCTGTGTTCGCTGCTCTAGACTCTCTGGTCCAGCAAGTCGAAACCTTCCGCCACGACATCCAGGAGTTCGACACGTATCTTGCTGAGCGACGACACGTCTTTAAGGTCGGCGATGACATTGATAAGGATGTAGCCAGTGGCTCCAGTGGCCCATCGCGAAGATCAGAAGACTCGACTAGATCGACGCAATCAAAGGCTGGGAATGCCGCGCAGATTGGTTCTATCTCGGAGCGGCTTCTGTCTGAGAATTCCTCAGCTAACATATCACGGTCTAGCTCTCCACGAGGCCGACAACTAGATGTTCATTCGACGCCCAATCTTGTCGGTCGGCTGACCCATTTCAAGATCTCTCCGTCACCGAGTCCCTCTAGGATGGAGTCAAGAGCGTTTTCGCCATCGCCGCTGCGGAAAGACTCTATCACGTCTACACCCCAAAAACGTGTCATCACGCCCATGGGTCCTGCAGATGCTCTACGTCAGCAGGTGAAGATCAGGACAAAAGACCGTACTGATAGGAATCACATGGGAGATGTTGGAAGCAGTGAAACAAGTAGTACACGAAGCGGATCCGTCGTGCCGGACACGCAGACTGCCGAAGAGTTCAAAGAGACCACTCTTAGCCACCTTTTGACGAATATTATCATCCTACAAGAATTCATTCTGGAACTCGCAGCTATTATCCAGGTTAGAGCCAGCTTATTTGGGGAGGTCGAGTTTGGATAAAGTCCTCACGAGATCTATTCATTCACATATTTTCACTCTGACAGCAGAGACACCTAAACCAGTCTCTTTCTCTTCCTTGTCTCTGACAATCCTTGTCATCTCTTCAGGCTTGCAGCAGATGTATGTGCACCATTGTTCAGACTGAATTCCACAGAGGGTCGACTGTTTTGATTTCGAGCCATCGTACAGCTGCATGCCCAACTCCATCCGAGCAAAGTGAGCCTGACTCCTTCGGCCTGAGCTCAGCAAGGAAAACGTTTGAATCGATCTGAAGTCTGTCTTTTCCTGCCCTGCCAAGCTTCACTTCCTCATCACCAACGACCCTCTTCCCCCAAAGCTTTACTTCCCGTGTCTGCTTGCAAGAGCTCACATTGTCAGTAACCATAGCGCCCCCAAACTCAATCCTCAGCATCCAGTTGTTGTGATCAGCAGCAGCTGTGACAATCTTTGGCTCAGCGTTATACCATTTGTACTTCCTTTCTTCATCGATATCCAAGTCTCTCCCTTGAACCTCATTCCTCGTTGCGTCGCTCATCCTCAAATATCTAAATCTTATGACCATGAGGGGATCGGGGTAGTAGGTACAGCCAGAATTCGCTTCCCAACGACCCCAAGTGACCTTCGCCGCTGCCATATAATGCGGTGCTTGTGAGAGAGACGCTTGACCGATGATGATGATGTCGGTGATTGAGATGATGTCGCCTTCGCCGGCCTCTGGGCGTCTTGTTGGTGTTTCCTCCCATACGGTTTGGCATTCGACGGTTGCAGGCGGGGTCAGAGCGGTACGTGATTTGGGTTGGGCGAGGGTAGACATGTTGAAGGAGTCCTACGGGGTTGTCCGAATGAGAAGAATGAGAAGGATTAGAAGGGGGCTGGGCGGCGATTTCATGGTAGAGGCTGGATTGATCAGATAAAGGGGTATGCATTGTTGCGGGCCAGAGGAAGGGATTGCTGTCTGGTGGATGTTTCTAGAGAGGGACGGAATGGGCTTGGATAAAGATGGTGGTGCTTCTACCATCTACTGGGCCAGACGCGGGTGCAATATATAGATAATGGTGGCTACCGCTATATGTTGTAGATGGAATCGTGCTAGAGGTCTCGTCGATGATTATTGCAAGATTGCAGTATTCGGCGGTTTTCCTATAGCTTTTACGGGTCAAGTGAAGGCAATTGCAATACACGATATTTTGCATCGCTGTGAAAGCGGAAGATCCGGCCGCCATGCGAGGAAGTTAGTCAAAAGGAGCGGTTGGGCTATCGGAGTAGGGTCCATGGCTAGCGAGAAGGGGGCGCGGAAGTGGAGAGAGATGCGCGGTCAGGAAGGGTCCTTCTGTTATCGCCTGCTGGAACAGCAATCATGATTTCTTGGCGCCGGAGACATGGTCACGTAAATAGGTATGAAGAGATTCTGTTGTGAAGATCATCGAAGGGGACGAATCGCTCTCATGTAGAGCTGAAAGCCTTCCCTTCTGGTTCGGACAAGTGACTATTGATCGAGCTTCGCCTAATCACTCTCCCTCCCATTCCTCAAGCCCTGCGGATCATGATAACTCACTCCCTTGCTGCTCAAACCATCGCATCTTCCCCTTCGGCTCCTGATCCGGCCTATACGCTCTGTACGCTTTCTTCAACTCGTTCAGCCACTCCAGCTCTCAACATCCTCAGCAGCATAATGCCCCTCGCCATCCGTGCATATGGAGAAATCAACCCCCTTTATCCTTGCGTCCTAGGGGCGTAAGAGCGTGCTCCCAGGAATCTCGCGTACTCGAAGCGCTTGTCTTTGCACGCCGGCTTCTCAAGCATATCAACCTGCTTCAACTTCGAACACTTCTTCTCCGGCGTCCGCGGCGTGCTGCCGCTTGTCGTTGTGCATGTTATCGGCGCCCTCCCCGCGCAGGGATTCCTCAGGTCGGCGAGGATCATCTTCTACAATTCGAAGCAGCGTCGGAAGGGCGGTCCCGGCAGTGTCTGTACTGCGGAGACTTCTGAATAGTCTTTGGAGGAAGGTTTCTTCAGTCATGTTGGATTTCTCGGCCGCTCTGGCGGCTGAGGCGATGGGGCTCTTTGATTTTGAAATTGGGTGTGCGTTGTGGAGCACTGAAGTGTGGTTTGCGGCGCTTGGTACAAGGATTCGTCGGCGGGGCAGGGGAGGGTGCGGGATACTTGGGGGTTGGTGGTGTCGGAGGTGCCGAGATAGAATTATAGGAGGTGTTACTGGCCTTTGGAGACGGCATAAACGGGTTTGTGAGTGCTGCAGTCGGCGGTTTGCCTGTTGCGCCAATTAGCATAAGGCAGCTATAAGCAGAATGTCAGGAGACCTCACTTCAATGAACCAGACCCTTGCTTCGTGTGCACGACAGGAGCGTCTTCCCTTCCTCAGCTGCTTTGCTGCAGATGGCGCAAGGACTCGTTAGTTCCTCGTTAGCCATTGTGGATTGGTATATTGTTGGAGCTCTCCTCGGAGAAGTGTGTAACAAAGCGCACGCCTGTAAGGTCCTTCACCGCCATTTCAACGACACAAAAGATTTGTTATTTCGCGATATAGACCTGGTCTCTTGACCGTGTATACGAGCTCTGTTTGTCGATCATCAGAACTGTGGTGGAACAAGACCAGCAGTCTTCTGTGTAGAAGCACCTTCCAGCTTCATCCGGCGTGGGAATACTAACACGGATCGTGATATTGCGGTAGTAATATCACAGACCATGCTATGTCTACACTCATTCACGCTAAAGGAAGGCGGCAGCATCAGAGATGACTGCAGATATTGAGGCATCCTACAGCATAGTAGTCCAACTATCATCATGGTAGAATGACTAGATGTTGTTGGTATAAGTTCCCATGTATATTGTCTTACAGTTTTTGACCTCAGATTTGGCACGTATCACTACCCTCTATTTCTTCCACCTGTCTGCAACAGCCATGGAGGAAACCCTGCGATTCCTCGTACAGCTTCCTTGCCTCCTTTGCCGTGCACCCCTTTATGTCCATAGGGAGAAGCCCCACTGTGTGTCTCAAAGTACGCAGGCTGAAGCTGAGCGACCCTCTCCGCCAAGTTATAGACCGCGCTTTTTAAGCTGTGAATCTTCTTCTGCACTCTGTAACAAAGAGTCCGAAGTTCACCTCTTCAAACTCCCTCTGGAGCTGCGAGAGATCATTTACAGAGAGGTATTGGGTGGCTATATGTTGCATGTAGGGTGGAGGCCGCGCAGAATGGGCCACATGAGATGCGAGTCCGCGAGCATGGATGCTTGCAAAGTAAAGGGCTGCTATGAGATGATGGGATATCGCAGTGTTTGCTATGGCAGTTTCGGCATTAATTGCGGAATGTTGGGGTTGCTTTTGACGTGTCGAAGGATGTGAGTTGCTTTCGTCTATAACCTTTAGCATGTGCGGTTCTCTGTTCGTGTTTCATACCAGAGAGGGAAGAGTTCGTGTTTGGTATTATGCGCTCCGATGGCTGATGAAGCCTACGATTAGCTATATCGAAGCAGTCAACCTCCTTTATTCTTGCAATACCTTCTCCTTCACCAATCCCTCCGCGTTGCGAGCTCTCACTCGTACCATTCTGCCGCAACGCCGGGCTGCGATCAGAGTCCTCCATCTAGACTGGTCGGTTCATGGGTACATGGGCCCGGATGCTGAGATCTTGCATCCTTTTATGCCTTACGATGAAGCAATCTGGGAAGATTTTTGGCGTGTTGTTCGTGAAGAATTGAAGGGGTTGAGAGAGATTCGGGTGTGGATTCAGCGTGATGGGTGTACGACAAACGAGGGGGCAGAAGTGAGGATGTTAGCGCCTTTAAAAGAGGTGAGGGGTGTGGGGGCTGTTGAGGTGAGATTCCCATGGCAAAGGCATGATGGAATAGAAGATGAATGGCTCAAAATCGCGAGCCCGCAATGAAATAAAGCAAAAGGTTTTGATATTATCCTTTATGGTTTCAGAAATGGTAAGATTGTCATTGAACGTTGCAATAGTAACACGATGATTACGATTATTTATAGGAACTTATAGTATGCTATATTATGTTTGCATAGCTTCCATTATGAAGCAGGAGTGTAGACTAATATCGACGAATCCAATTACATACGAGCAGCGAACATCCAGGAAAGGTGTTCTGCTATATCGTCAAGGCTAAAGTTTCAGTTCATGGTCGAATCTCAGGGTCCCTTCTTGGCACTATCAACGACATCTCATCGACATCGCTTGCAGATTGTATGCAACGTGATAGAGCGTGGTATTCCCCAAGATGTCTGCCACGTCTGAATTTCCGTGGACACGCGTCGAGTGATTGCCTGATGATAAAGAGCATCAAGGATACTATTATCTGGGCTTTCGAGATTGTCGAAGTGTGGACGTTGAGGTTCGAGCCAACTAGGGTGCGTGGAAACCTTTACATAAAGAACAGTCTCTCTACTTACCACTATCGAGAATATCATCTGTCGGTCTATCTACGTTCTTGATTGAGGGGCAGTGTATCTGGTTGCCTAAGTAGAATCTTCATCATCCAAAAGCCAAGAAACAACTCTAGCGCATTCACTTTTCCTCATTTGTGATTCCTCCAGTCCCATCCTCTCACTTCCTCAACCCCACAACTCTTCTTTCCCTTTCATCCAAGGCCATCCTCCAAACTAAAAATCTTTTGAGCACATCAGCTGGACCGAATCCATATAGCTGACGTGCCAATACAAGCTTAATCATCTCAAACACCGTCGTGCTTCTTCTCCATCACTCAAACTCTTCCCAAAGTTCAGACTCGCTCTCACTTCCGCTTTCCCAACCTCCAAAATCCAAGCGCAAATTTCAACAAGCCAAAGTCCAAACCATCGACAGCAAAAATGCCTATCAAGTGGACGCCAGTCATTGATCAGATCGTGAGTCTCCGCTCACCTTCTCATCATCCTCCTGACTCTCCACTCTCATACCATTCTCCTCTTCACCAACATTTGGGTCAGCATCTGTAAAGCTAACATACCTGCAGCTCCTCCTCAAGATCCTCGAAACCTCCCAAGTCAACGTCAACCCTGTAGCAATCTCCGCAGTATGGCGTAAGTCCCCGGCCTCTTCTCCAGGCTTCCTACTACCGCTTTGGCTCTTTCCTCCGAAATAATACCGAATACTAACACTCCCAACCCGCAGCTGAGGGTTTCGAAAAGCCCACCCCCCGCGCCATTAGCGAACGCTTGGTCAAGATCCGCCAAACTTCCAAAGACAACGGCGCCGCTTCCCACTTCAGTGTCTCGAAGGCAAAGTCCGGTGCCGGTCCAGCTGGGACACCACGCAAGCGCGCTACCGCTGGTACCAATGCGGCGGTCAAAAAGGCTACTGCACCAGCTCAGGTTCGCCAAGGAGGAAAATTCTCTGCCCGTGGTAACGGCGGTGCCGGTGAGAAGCGCAAGCGTGGGAATCGGGGCAGGAGCGAGGAGTATGTCTTCCCGCACCTTCCTTTCCGGGGGACTTGGTCCGTACATTCGCCTCTCCTGTTTGGCGCTAACGTTGTATGCTTGCAGCGATGCTACCGACGACTCCGAGGACGATGACCTCAAAGCCGACGAGTCTGACACCGAAGACGAGGACGAACCGCCCAGCAAGAAAGCTAAGAATGGGCAGGGTAAATTCATCGTCAAACTTGAGGAGAGCGAGGGCGGATTCTGTGACAGCGGGTATGAGAATGCGAATGAGGATGCTTTTGTGGGCACTGAGGAGGAGGTCTTTGCCTAGGGGAGGGAAGAGGAGGATATCAGAGTTGGGGCAAGAAACTTACAGAGAGTGGGTGACTGTAGATCCCACTTCGCTGATGTCCTCTTTTTCTTCGATGGCAAGGGTGTGGGCCTGAGTCTATGAGTATACTATAGTTGCATTGCGTACTTATTCGAAGGTCGATACTGGACAGATGCTAGGGGGGCTTCAAGTAGAGCCTGGTGCGGTGCCTGGCGGTCTCTGGCTGCTTGCATAGCATATACAAATATAATGAAAATCTTCCATGCAGTAAATCATTCAACATGAACATCATCAAGAGTTGATTGTGCCGTCAATTCATTACAAGAGCATGCTTTCAAGCATCCACCTTTCAATGACCATGGCAGGGGTGCTCTCCATACTGTCCCGCTAGATTTGACTCCCCCATGCACCCCCATGCACCTCTATGCGCCACTATCCCCCATGAAATGAAGAACCGTCGTACCACTGACTCTTCCTTAGGAGTAAAGAAGAGGCCTTTTGTACCAGGCCGAAAGTATCATAGACTCAGCTGGATCTGTGCTGCCACAAAAGCCATGACGCGACTGTGGCGATGGTCACTGGGAGAGAGACAGCCCAGTACACCCAAAATTTCTCGGATACTACCCAGGATTCCTGCTGAGTCTTGGTAGCTGGAGAGAAGTCAAAGAAGCTTGTACTGAATAAAGCCTCCAGGCGACCCGAAATTAGTCGGTGTCTGGTGCGGAACGACCATGGTTCACTCACCGCAACGAAAGTTGCAGGCAACAAGGTCAATGTCAGGACTGCTATCGTCCTCATTGCTGCGCTATCTCTCCGTACTGCTTCGCTCATCTTTACCATGACCTTGCTGTCATACTGCGTGATGGTGTTGAAGGCCTGCCGAGGTCAACTGAGGTAGGATTCGAGAGATACTCGGATGCAGACTGACCAAGTCTATCTCGTTGCGCAGTCTTGCCTCGTTAGCTTTAGATCGTGCACTTAAGTTCCGCAACGTCTGCACCCTAAAGCTGAGTGCCTGATTTGTCCGCCGTGAGACATTGGATTTCGTGTCCGAAGGGGGCACTTTGCAGAACCACTCGTGTTGGCAAAGGATGCTTTTTGTTGTTTCTGTTGCAACGTCAAGTGTTTCCGAGGAATGAACCGCATGCCGTGCGAAGTCATGCAGTAGGGGGAAACTAGCTGCTTGTTGGGCAACGCCGTGCCGATTCTAGAGACATATCAGTTTGAGTTGGTTCCTCGTGTCAAAGATGCTGTGGTGGCAGCTTTACCACTTCAATCATCCTCACAAAGTCTCGAATAGACCAGACGGAGGCGTCGAAGGCGTGGATGATTTCTCCAAGGATGATCGCATGAAGCGAATAAGGATCAGACGGGTCAAGCGTTGTTGACGGCGACAATAAAAGGTTTCGAAGTCCATCGCGTAGATGCTGAGGGACGTCGAAGCAGAGAACAACATGTACATTTGCTGAAGTCCATTTCGTGAAGAATGCCATCTCATACCATTCGTAGTTGTGGTATTGGATACCTCTGACTTCTACTAGCTGCTTGATTATAAATCGGAACCATGTGTATGCACCGGTCGTTAGTAGAGATTTACACTACTTAGAAAAGGACAATACCATGACTTTTGACTTTACCTTCTTCATTGTACGAATCTCCACAACCAAAGAATCCATTAGAACGTTGATAACTCTTGGACCAGAACAAATCAGGTATTGTGTATCGAGCGGATAGGTTTTGTCGAAGGATAGCCGATGCGAGGAAGGGCTCTGAGGTAGCAAAGCTATTTCGGTCAGGGAAAGCCTAGCAAGAGGCGTGTAACGGACACAACATGGCTTCGCTTCTTGCTCTGTCTAAACAATGTCTTAGCACGTGTCGCCAGTGCCTCGGTACTTTTTATAGATGAGACCGAAGACCGTCTTCTATTGTCGCACTTGTGCTGCGCCATGTTCCTTCCACTAATGCCAGTCAACATTCGTAATCAGCGGAAGGTCAGCCTCGTACCTTGTTCAAGGATGTCGATGGAACTCATTGGGAGTATGGTGGTGTTCAAGTCTCGCATTGATACAATCTGTATTGACGAGACTTCGAAAGCGTTCACCAGCAACAAAATCGGTCAGCAGCCTGTCAGTGTCAGGCTGAGGGGACCGAACAAATTCCATGGCTTTGTGGATCTATGCTCTCTTAAGAACATGTTCCAATGCATCCTGTAAGTCTACAAGGCTGCAGTGGCGGATCTATAGGCTCTTGTGCTCCGCAGGGGAGGGATCATCTTTGATCATTGCTGCGGAGGTGCCCGACAATCCTCTAGTGGGAGTCTCGAGGCAGTCCTGCACGTACCTGTTATCACTCGGAAACGCAGTTTACTAGGAAATACAGGTTTTTTAAAACCGATAAACCCGGCGTAACACTAAAATGCCTACAACAGAGTTTTCGCTTAATTAATCCGCACCCGCGAAACGTGAAAAATCGCGAATCCCCACCAAAACACCTTTAATACCTACATTACCATGGGACGTATTAAGAGTAAAACTAATCTTTTAGATTCTAAAAAGGATATATTAATAGCTCTTAGTAATCTTAATAATATATTAAATCGTTAGATAGCCAAGGTCTATAAATATAATAAAAAAACGATTCGAAATATTAAGAAACGCGTCTTTAAGGCGAAGAAAGAAAATATTAATTTACTTTCTTTAGAGATATATTAATAACATTCATAGTTTAAATAACCTCTAGTAATTAATAAATAACTTCTACGACGTCTTATTAGATATACTATCAAGAATCGATTTCAGCGTTATAAGTCTTAGATAACGATTATCTATAAGATAAGATATATAGTCTCTATAATAGTTATTAATATAGTATTCTCTAAAGTTAGCTATAGACGATATCCTTCTTAATATAAGTCTCTACTATCTTTAGAATAGAAGTAAAAATATTTATAATTCGCTATTAATTAATTAAAGAGATTATAAGATAAGAAATATATAATAATTTATAGTAATAAGATATCGATTCGCGTTAAAGAATCTCGAGGGTAAATTTAAATTATACGGCTTTTTAAGGAGGTATATTATTAGAATTATATAGATATACGATATCGTAATTATATAGAAATAATATTTTAAGACTATTATACTTCGAAAATACGTGGTTTAAGCTTTATATTTATTAAAGAATTCGCTTTAGAAAAATACTATATTTAGAAGAATCTTAATAGTCGAAACTTCGAGTATCTAGTTTAATAATAGATTATTTAGAAGTATTTCTTAGCGAAGTAAGCTAGAAAATTCCTAAGTCGATATTTTAAACGCGTTTTAAAGCTTAAGAGTATACTATTTAAGAGAAATAAGAATATTAAAAAAGAGATTAATTAATATCGATATTAGATATATATTCTATTATCTTAATTAATTCTATTTATTTATAAGATAATTATTAAGTATAACGAGTATTTTCTAATTTAAGATAATACTTTTAATTATAATATATAATAATAATAAAAATTTCTTAAAATCTTATATCTTATAGTCCTTTTATAGCTAATAAACTTCTCTAATTTAAATTAAATTAAGTTATATTAATATTATTTAAAGTGAAAAGTCTCGAAGAGATTATATATATCTAAGATTAAGGAGAGTATAATTAAAACTTAAGATGATAAATAGTAGAATTTAGATATAAAAAGAGTAGGCTAATAGTATAGAAAGTTATATAATCGAATAAAACGCGTAAAAAATTAATAAGATAATAATAAATTTTATAGCTAGTAGATATACTCTACTATCTAATTAATTTATATCTTAAATTTAAAGTTATTTTATTAAATAATTATAAAGTAATAATAAAAAATAAATAATAATCTTAGAAATATAACGCGGGTGCGGATTAATTAAGCGAAAACTCTATTATACTTCTTACTAAAATATAATCTAGCTTATACTAATATATTAAAATCTATATTCTAAAGAGTATAAATTATAAGATATATTCTATAGTATAATTTAGAATTTAAATAATATAAATTAGCTTATTATTAACTAAGTAATAATTAATAAAAGAATTTAAAATTATTTATCTTAACTATAAGTTACTCTTTAATTAATAATAATAACTCTATAGTAATCATAGAAGCTTTATACTTATAGATATTATAATTAATATATATTACTATCTATTATTTAGATTTAAAATTAAATAATTCTAAATAAAGAGTAATAGATTAACTAGAGATAAAAAAGCTCGCTTAATTACTAGCGAGTAAATATTATATTTAATATTTATACTTACTTTATAGTAATTAAACTTATTTATTATAATAAATAAAACTTATAGAAGTAGTTATATATCTATATAGATTATAAGATATATATATATATAAGTCTTAGATAAGATAGAGACGCTAGAAGACTAAAATTCTATTCGCGATTTATATAGTAAAGTAATCTTCGAAATAATAACTAGTCTATATAATCTAGTAATTAAGAATATTATATATAAAAACTCGGCTATTAACTTATATATATATTAGAGTAGTCGTAGAAAAAAGACTTTAAAAACTAGAATATATTAGTCTATAGTATACTTCTTTAGAGTAAAGTTTATTTTTATTTTTATTTATAGATTTTTTTAAAATTATAGCTAGATTTAAATTATAGATCTCTAAGAGTAATAATTTAATATCGAGTTATAAATATTAGAATATTATTATAATAATATAAATAAGTAAGTAAGTATTATAAGTAAGTAAGTAAGTAAGTAAGTAAGTAAGTATTATAAGTACTATAAAGTAAGTAAGTAAATAATATAATTTCTTTATAATTATCTAGTATACTCGTCTCTATATTATTTAAGACTCTATAAAGATAATAAATATTTTAAATACTACTCTTTCGAGCGTCTTAAAATTTATTATAAGGTGAGTTTTATAGTTATAGAATAATTAGATAATATATATTTTTATTACGAAGTAAAAAAGAAATTCTTATATCGAT